TGTTTTGTGTCTCTGTGTGGAGGGAAAGGGCTCAGAGGGAACAATACCACTGCCTATGGCTTCTGGAGGCTTTAGGTGCTTCTCCGATGTGATTGTTATGCCAGCTCCAGCTGTTGTCCTAGTGCTGAATCCCGGAAGAGGTGGGTCTACATATGTTTTCCTAAAAATCCTGACAGTTCCTTCTGTGGCCCCAACCCCCCACTGGTTTTTTACAGCCAGAAGTTATGGGTATTTATCTTTCTGGTATAGAACCATGGGATGTACTTGGTCTGGCCTGGGGCTGGGATCACCTTTGCTCCCAAGGTATCCCTCCCAATTTTTATCTACCACATGTGACTGTGCAGGATTGTCTGTTTTGCTGCCCTCTCCATGCCACACCATGTCTCTGTGGCTCTCCGCCTGCTGCCTCCTCTACCCCTCCTACCCACCTGGATGAATGTGGCTTCTTTTAAATCCTTCATTGTTGGACTTCCCACAGCTCAATTTTCTGACAGTTCTCTAGATGTTGTTCTGAGGTCTAGTTGTAATTCTTTCTGTGGTTGAGTCAAGAGGTGAAGCCATGTTTACCCTATGCACTCCAACAGGGACCGTGAAGTCCCCTTCTTCTTTAAATTATATATTATCTTCTACGTTTTTGTGTGTTGATTTTTAGTTTGTTGGTTTTTAAAAATTGCTTTTAGGAACTCTCTTATAATGTAAATTCGTCCTTTTTGATATGATCTGCTGCTTCATGTGTTTCCAATCAATTTGTATGAGTTTAACATACATAAGCTCATGGCAAGGCCCCCTCCTTTTCTTGGCCTAAGGAGTATTGTGCTGGTTTCCCGGTATTCTCTTTACCTAGTCATCTTCAAGGGTGGGTGCTTTAGCTCCAGCTTGCTCTATTTTATCTCCTAATTTACCTGAAGGGACATTACTGACCACTTCAAAAGCAAGTATTTTTTCTTCCCCAAAAGTCAGTCTCATGTGAGGAAAGCACAATATTGTGCAGCATCTTATATACTTGAGAAACACACATTCCCTCATTAACATGTTTTCGACTCTAGCCTTGTGAACTAATGGCACTAGTCCTATAGCTAAAAGTGATTCTTCTCCTCTTTGGCTGGTTTTCATTACAAAGGGGCCCAGGTTTTTTTTTTGTTTGTTTGTTTTTTTTGTTTCTGAGTCGTTCTGAGTGAATGGACATGGGAAATGAGGAGGTTAGATGGATGGGGGAATAGAAAGGGCAGGTGAGGATAATACTAAAGATCTTCATTTTGAGAGCTCAGATACTTGTGGACCTCCTCAGCAGAGGTAGTAATTTTCCATCCTGATGGGTGGAGATGGTCTTCAGAACAATACAATGTATATAATATCTCATGAGCTCATAGGACAAATATTGATCGGCTTGGAGTCATCTAAGAATGACAGAGTTGCAACTGTTTGAAATATTAACTTTGAAGATTATATGGGGAAAAGTTTGGGACTAATAACTAAAGAAAGGTAATAGTGCCATCCCCACTGGGGTGAGGGAATCCTTCATTTAAATCTATTATCTTAGTTATCTATTGCTTGTGTAACTAATTACACCAAAATTTAGCACCTTAAAAATAAACAGTTTTGATCACACAGTTTTCCTGCACCAGGAACTTGGTAGCAGCTTATCTGAGTCCTGCTTCAGGGTCTCCCATGAAGTTATCATTAATATGCTGGGACCAAGGTCCTCTGAAGTGTTGGTTGTGGCTAGAGGATCTGATTCTCAGGTAGCTCACTCACAGGGGCTGTTGGCAGGAGGTCTCAGTTCCTTGTCAAGTGAATCTCTCCACAGAGCTACTTGCATGTCCTCACACTGGGGCAGGCAGCTTTCCCTGCTGTGATGTAAGACAGAAAACAAGGAGGAAGCCAAACTGTTTCCTGGGACCTAGTCTTGAAAGTCACATACTGTCAATTCTACCATTTTCTATTAATTAGAAGCAAGTCACTAGGGTCAGCTCACACTCAAGAAGAAAGTAGAGCTTCTTTGAAGGGATGAACATCAAAGAATTTGTGGATTTATTTTAAAACCATCGCACTCAGCATTCTTCAAAAAAAGCTTATGATAGCCTACTTTGAACTGTATTCCATTGCTTGAACTACATGTCTCCATTCATGCAGAGAAATATTTGTTGTCTTATATGAATCACTGCATACCATTTTTACCATCTGTTACTAGAACCATTTTATTCTAAAGAATGATATCCTCCTAACAGTGGTCTCTTTTCCCCTCTCTCAGGTGCTTGTTGGGTTTCTTTTTATTCTAGCAGCCACAGAGCTGGTCCTTGTATTCATAGAAGATTCTGGACAAGCCACCGTTCCTGCCATCAGATATACCAATCCAAGCCTCTACCTGGGCACATGGGTAAGGGCCATCACCACTTCTGCCCTGTTTATTTAATCTCTGTTCATAGTCATATAGTTGAAACGTACTCTTTGTACTGAAACAGGGTCCAATTTCATCTACCTTTTTCAAGGGACCTGTGATGAGGGGAAAGCTTAATTATAATGGGGGTGAAACAGATTTTTAGCTCTTCTTCTTTTGAACACTAGTTTGTAGACCCTGCTCCTTAGGATGAATACTAGCTTTAATAACTAAGATATGTATCATATGCGCTCATATCTTTCCATCTAAGGATCATATGTGAAATTCTGGCTTATTGACAAGAAGAATTCTCTTAAATGCCATAAATATTACTTTTAAATTGATTTGTAGAGTGTAATCAATGGATCACCATGTCTAGAGTTATTTTATAAACTTGGTGACAGAAATTAATGTTTCTTCTGCAAGCATGTTTGAGGGGGCTGCCTATCTGGTGTTTTAAAAGCAATTGAACTAGATGTCTTATTTTAAAAGAGGAAGAGACCTCAAACTTATTTGGATTTTCAGTCTTTCTTGAAAAAATCAGAATGTCTGGCAACTCTGGGCCTACATTTCCATAGGGCAATGGTCAACTAGGACCGAGTAATAGTTACCCCCACTAGGCCAGGCACATGCTCAGTACAGTCTCCCAAAGTCCATTCAGAAACATGCTGTGCCTGGCCCCTGCAGGCATATTGTTTGATAATGCTGTTTAAAATAACCAAGAAGTGTCTAGGCAGTGGTATGCTGCATCTAGAAACATTGTGCTGGAACTTGAAACCCACTACAGTGGGAGTATTTACACCATGGAAGTTGGCAATTGCTACAAATCATGGCTTTCCATCCCTATTCTCAGAATATTGATTTACTGAGTTTAGGAAACCAACATTTAATTAATTATATCTAAGTGAGATGTTACAAGGGAAGTTTTTATTAACTGCTTAGTCTATGATATTATTAGAAAATCATGATACAGACACCTTGCACCTATCCAACAGAATCTGCCTGCACCACCTGACTACTGCAGTGCCTGCAGTTAATTTCCTCATCTCTTGAAAAGATTTTTCTTACTCCCAAAGTAGAGCCATTCGAATGCAGATGATGATCCTCTGCCTTCTTTGCTAACTCCCTGCCCAAGTGTGGCGACTAGAGATAGGGTGGGAAGGAGGGACCCAGGGAGAGCATGGAGGACCTGAAAAGAGGAAGTTGGATGGTATCAGGGAGGAAATCTACAATTTGGCGTGTGTGTGCTTTCTGCCTGGTGAGATTAAAGGCAACAATCTCCTCCTGTAGCCCTCCTTTCTTCCTCTCTTTTCTGACATCCTCTTTGCCTCTTATTTTTGGCTAGTGCCAGTATTTTTCAGAACCTGATGTCAATTTCTCTCTAGCTCCTGGTTCTGCTGATCCAATATAGCAGGCAATGGTGTGTGCAGAAGAACTCTTGGTTCCTGTCCCTATTTTGGGTTCTCTCAATACTCTGTGGCACTTTCCAGTTTCAGACTCTGATCCGGATGCTCTTAAAGGTAAGGAGGAATGAGAGGGTGTGATGAGGGGAGCCTGCTAGGCAGCTTCTCGGGTGGAGTCAGCGGCATGAAATAAGTTGAGCTCCAGGACAAAATCGTATGTAGGGGATTTGATCTATGCTTTCATCACAAATATTGACATATGTGGGCTGCTTAGACTTAATTTGGATAAAAGGCTCATTTTCTCTTCTGTTTTTTTGTTTTGCCATAGGGCAATACTTCCAGTCTAGCCTACTCCTGCCTGTTCCTCATCAGCTATGCATTCCAGATCCTCATCCTGATCCTTTCAGCATTTTCAGAAAGAGGTGACTCATCAGAGGTGAGACTCAAAATAGACCCACCTCATAGGTTATTTCATTGGCTGGCACCCTGACAAATGTAAGGTGTCAAAATCTAGGTGTCTAGGTGTCATACAGGTCCCCTGAGACGTCTAGGTCTCATGGAGGTCCTCAAGACTGGAATACAATAATATATACCAGTGTATGACATAAGGAAACAGAAGGTGAAGAGAGTATGGAAATATTGACTTTGATATTGACCCACCAATCTTTAACATAGACAATTAATTCATATATCTATGCCAGAAGGTCTAATTATCATTCAACTGGTGACCATAGCGTCTCCAGATAAATACATATGGACCAGCCTGCTTTAGTGGCACATTGCATCAGTTTCCGATTTTAGAGTCCTGTGAAGTTCCTGTTTCCCACTGATTTAGTTTCTGATTTGTGTGTGTGTGTTTTGCAGAATCCATCAGTCACAGCTTCATTTCTGAGTAGAATCACCTTCAGTTGGTATGACAGGTAAGAAAGCCTGGAAATCAGGTTGCCTCTATTCTCACCCCCCCCCCCCAGTCTTCTGAAAGTAATGGAAATCTTAATTTTTCAACATGTCTCCTACAGCCTCTATTTCTCCTCTACTTAAAGCCAGAGAAAGTTAGTTCAGTCTCTTTATTGGTTAGACTGGGGCACTGAGGAGATGGAGGGAGATTTGCTCTTGGTAGCCTGGGGGTTCCCTGGAGAAAAGGAAGGGCTGTAAGGAAAGGAGGTGGTAGAACAGGACCAGGGAGCCATAGGGACTGGTGGAGCGACACGAATTTGGAGGGTAAGGGATGAATTAGTTGGATGTGGAACAGGCAGTCTTCTCCTTTGTGCTTCCACAAAACCCGTTGTCTGGTAACTCCCACAAATCCCTTCTTAGGCACTGTTTTCAATGCATAAAAGACATAGAATTATAAAGGAAAACAAATATATTAAAGTATAGTTACCTAAATATTTTTACTTTTATTTATTTATTTTTAAAAGCCAACACAAGGCTCTTTTAAAAAAAAGATTTTATTTATTTATTTTTAGAGAGAGGGGTAGGGAGGGAGAAAGACAGAGAGAAACATCAGTGTGTGGTTGCCTCTCGCATGCCCCCTACTGGGGACCTGGTCTGCAAACCAGCCATGTGCCCTGACTGGGCATCAAACCAGCAACCCTTGGGTCACAGGCCAGGACTCAACCCACTGAGCCACACCAGCCAGGGATACATATTTAAAAAAATAAATAACAAATGCGTAGTAATATGAGTGCTTCTTTATGAATGCATTAAACAAAAAGATCTAGTAATGGTAGTAATTCGAGTGCTTCTTTATGAATGCATTAAACAAAAAGATCTAGTAATGTGTCTAATAATGACCATAATTTCAAAGTAGTGATGAGTGTAAATGGGCCTTGGGAACATCTGTGATTTCTCCTAGAGACAAAGGCACAAGCAGTCCCTTAGAAAACTCTGGTTGCCTTTGCCTCTATTAGAAGGAAAAGCTAAGTATCAGTTAGAAGCTGTTAAAAATAAAGACTTGATTTTTTTTCCATCCAGTTTTTCAAATCTTAGGTTGAGAAGCTCTAATCTAGAAAGGCAGTATGGAGGTGGTCTCCAGGTCTGCTCAGTTCCTTAAGGGCGTTGTGAAGTCCCCCAGGGAGTAGCCAGAACAGCAGAGGCAGCTGGTGTTTGAAGAGGAAGGAGCATGGGGAGGGGGGAGGTGATGCGTTTTGAGCTCTTAATTCGGTAGTGCCCCTCCCCTTCTTTTTTTCTTGTCTTCTACCCCCTTCTGTTCCCCCCACGGGATCCCTTCCTGCTTCCCCCACTCTTCTGTCAAGATCAAAGGGGAGGAGGTAAGGCAGTGAGGAAGGGGGAGGTCTCGGTCTCCTGTCCCTCCAACCCAGAAGTGAGTGGGGGGTTTTGACAGAGGCACCCAGGGAGACAGCCTCTGACCCAGCCTGCAGGGCCTTAACCTCTGGGTCCCTCTTATTCTAGTGTTGTTCTGAAAGGCTTCAAGCGACCTCTGACACTTGAAGATATCTGGGATGTTGATGAACAGAGTAAAAGCAAGGCACTAGTCACCAAATTTGAAACGCACATGGCAAAAGAGCTGCTGAAGGCCAGGCGGGCACTGCAGAAACGGCAGCGGAAGAACATCCAGAGGGACTCTGGAAGCAGGCTGCGTGGCCTAAGCAAGAACCAGAGTCAAAGCCAAGATGTCCTTGTCCTGGTAACTGTCCCATGAGGGTGTGTGTGAGTGTACTGTATGACTCAGGCAAGAGGAAGGACATCAGGCTCATGGTGACCCTGCCCTCACATTCTTATGTCACTTTATACTTTGCAGTGTAGTTTATATTATTATTAGTATTCACCATACTAATAACACCTTAGTGAGGACTACATGGGGGTAGAATGTGGAATTTGCTCTCCTTTTGGGGTATATTTGAAATTTTCTATGACAAAATGGCTTTAAAATAAAAAGATAAAATAAAATAATGCCTTAGCATTACTAGAACTTGTGCCTTGGTGGATTTAGCATTAGCAGTTAAGTCATTTACATTTTCACTCGAAAACATCTATTGAGTGCCACTGCATGTCACCAAAGCTTGCACAAAGGAGGCAGCAGGGCTCAAGGGCTTCACAGGACTGGACAAGGTCCTACCCCCCACCGCTCTGTGGACACTGCTGTTGTTGGTTTTGTACTTAGGAAGAAGCTAAAAAGAAGAAAAAGAAGTCTGGGAGCACAGAGGACTTCCCTAAGTCCTGGCTGATCAAGGCCCTCTTCAAAACTTTCCGCGCCATCATCCTGAAGTCGTTCCTGCTGAAGGTGGTGTATGACCTGCTCACATTTCTGAATCCTCAGCTGCTGAAGTGAGTCCCTGTGCCTGGGCCATCTCGGGGCCTCCCCAACCACCCTCCACTCTGCCCCATGTCTGTGGGAAGGAGCTTATCATTAAATTTTCATTTTTTAAATGCTCACAGTTTTCATCCACCTTACAGTGAGTGTGCATGAAGAGTGCAAGGCAGCTTTCAAACTCTAAGATGATGTGTTCTTCAGCGGTCCTCTTTTCCACACTTCTCCCCAGCCCCCGCTGCATAGAATGCCAGATACACATTAGGAACTCTTTCTTGTTAAACAAAACCACTGTGGGCTGAGCCATGTCCAAGAGGTGGACCCCAGGAGAGCCTGCTGGCTTGTGTCTGTACCCTCCTTGCTCCACAGCCACTACCTTTGACAGCAGGTTCAGGTTAGCCATGACAAGACGTCCGCTTGGACTTCAGCATGAACCATCCTCGAGGGGGAGCCCTTCTAAGTCATTCTGGACACCTGTCCTAATTCCTTTCTAGGCCTGCATTGTCTAGGAGTTAATCAGCTTGTCCCACAGAGCCTCTTTAGCCGGGACACAGCACTGCAGAGGCAGCTCTGCAGCTCATTCACGATCCCATCTCTTGAACACAGGTCATCAGCCTTAAGTGCTTCCTGCTCCTGTTCTCACCAGAGCAAGATGACTGTGGCACTCATTGTTCCCAGAGCACTGACAATTCCGGTCACTTTGTTACCTACAGGGCAGGGTAGGGTAGGCGGCTGAGCACGAGGTGTGTGGAGCCCTTGGAGGCCTGGTGGCCGTCACTTACTCGGTTTTGCTCTGGCAGATTGCTGATCTCCTTCGAAAATGATCAGGACAGTTATGTGTGGATCGGATACCTGTATTCAGTCCTCTTCTTCGTTGTGGCCCTCATCCAGTCTTTGTGCCTTCAGTATTACTACGAACTTTGTTTCAAGCTGGGAGTAAAAGTGCGGACCACCATCATAGCTTCTGTGTATAAAAAGGTAAGTGAACTGTGTCAGGCTTCGCCGGAGGGAACCTCCTTCGCAAGCATGAGCACTGAGTCCGAGGCTGAGGGAAGTCTAATGAAAATGATAACTGACCTTAACACTTGATTTTGACTAACCATATAAGCTTCTTTAGATGTTTCTTTGGAAAGCAAAATATGAAAGATGTGAATATAAATGTAGTAGGTGTGTGTGTTGGGGGCCGAGGGATACGTTCCAGGGAAAAACTAGCCAGCTGTTCTCTGCCAAGTATCTGCCTTTGAGCCTTAAAGGCTTTCTTATCTGTCCTTCTTTCTACCTCTTGACAAAATGGAAAGTCAGAAAAGCAGCTGGCCGAGCACAAACTCTTAAAACCACCAACACTTAAGTCCAATGCCACGTGAAGCAGCATTCATGAGGCCTGGTGTGTCCATATGAAATTACCATTTTGCCAGAGACAAAAATGTACTGTGGCCCTGGCTGGTGTAGCTCAGTGGATTGAGCGCGGGCCTGCGAACCACACGATCGCGGTTCGATTCCCAGTCAGGGCACATGCCTGGGTTGCAGGCCTGTTCCCTGCAGGCCAGTTCCCAGCAGGGGACGCACAAAAGGCAACCATACATTGATGTTTCTCTCCCTCTCTCCTTCCCCCACTTCCCCTCTAAAGATAAATAAATAATAAAATATTTAAAAAAATAAAATAAAATAAAATAACTTGAAAATTGTTTAAAAAAAAAATGTACTGTGGATCTGGGCTCCACCCCGCCAGACTGCTTCTTCTTAGTGACTTCTTTTTTCAGTAAATCTTTACTGGCTGACCAACCTCTCTACTGCCTGATTCCTCTTTTTTTTTTAATTTGTAAATACATTCAGTCTGCCTTCTGGGCTTTCTGCAAACTTGGGAGCTTTTTCATCTCCTTAAGGTGGTTTGGCCATCTTCCCTCTGATATGTTGCTTTTAAATTTTAACTTTCTCAAGGCAACTGTGTTTTTCTTATATCCTAGACAGCAAGGTGAAGTCTCATTTTGTCCTTTAAGAAATGAAAATGGAGTTGTTGTATCTCAATAAAGAAAAAAATAAAGTTAAAAAAAGAAATGAAAATAGAATAGTTACGATCAGGGACTGGAAACTTGTGGGGAAATTTTATACATGAGGAGATAAGACTTTTGAGAAGTCAGAATACAGAAGGGGTGCCCTTTCTTCCTGGTTTTTCTCCGCCACTAGAGCGCTCCATCGCGTGGTTTCTCCCTGACGGTTCCTGGGTTTCTCTTTTGCTCTCTTCTCCTACAACATTCATGGGCCTTGGTCTTCCCTGAGTAGATGTGGACTCTTCAAGAGGCCCAGACAGGTGACCCAGATGTCTTTAGGTCAGAAGTCTGAAACCTCCCACAAACCCTCCCAAATTAACATTTTAATCCCCTTATTCCTTCTGAAGATACTGAATTTCTGCTGGTTTGCAAGATATGAGATTACCAACCAGGCTGCCTCTGCCCTTTCTATGCATATACACTTTTTACTATTGTAGTGATTAATTCCCTCCATTTTTAACACATTCGTAATAATTTTATTAGTTAGAACTTCTCGCATTGATGCACAAGGGTAAACTTTCTTTAATTTGTGAATCGTAGGAAGTTTTTTTTTATTGTTGTTCTACTGTAGTTGTCCCAATTTTCTCCCATTGCTCTCCCCTACCCCACCCATCCTCATTCCCTCTATTTTGATTATTAATATATCCCAGGTTTTACAACTGTTCTAGTTCATGAGGAATTTATAAAATAGAGCTTTTAATAAGAGAAGTAAGTGTTGCTACTAAAATAGAATTTTCAGTTGACTAACTTCTTACACTTAGATGACGCTTCTTTATGAAATGTTTTGAAGCGTTCTTCACATCCATTATCACATCCATTATCAGTCTATGGCCCTATGAAATAATTGCGTTATCCCTATTTTGCTGAGAAATAAGGCTCTGGGCAATTCAGTGCCTATAGTCACATGGCCAAGACCGGTCCCCGCGCAAAGGCTATTGGGACTAAATCAATGACTTTTCCACTTCACTGAAATTTATTGAGGAAAGGGAAGTGTAGTGATAACCATGAAGCGACCTTAGATGTTACTTTTTTTCTTCTCCCTACCAAAAGGGAGGCAGGAGAAGTGGACTGATTTCTCTAGAACCTTGGCAGCCTAACATTTTAGGAAATTTCCTTCTTTCTGCTGTACAACAAAGATCCTGGTATGTTCCAAAGAAGAATGTATTGGTGGATTAAGATGACAATAGAACTTCTAGGAGAAGCATTCAAGTGAATATCTAGGACCCCCTGTAGCCCATACACTTCTTTGTGGAAATTAGAAGAAGGCTCTCCTTCCTCCAGGAGGATGGTGACTTGGTGAGCACCGTGCAAGCCGGTTTCAGTAACCCTGCCCCTAACCCTAGTTCCTTAGCTGGTTCATTGGTGCCGGGCATTTTTTAAGCGATAGACCTGTCGGGTATCAGCCTTCTGATCTCTTTAACATGAGAACTGAAGGGCCACACTACAAGATTTAGAGATCTACACATTACCTGCAAATTTCTGGCACTAAGGCATTTTGTTTTACGTCTCTGAACACTGCAGCTTTTCTTTCCATTTTAAGGTCTCTGTCCTTCTTGGGAATGGTTGCAACCTCCTCATGAGAGTGTGGCTTCAAATAACACTGCCACGTCAGAAGTCTGCAAGGCCAGAATCAATGCATGCTCCCCCCACTTCATCCCTCCTGTTTATTTCCTCTGTCAGTGTTTGACTCCATAGTGTGTGCCATGTGATAGAGTAGTGAAATGCTCAGATGGAGCCCTGGTCCTCACAGAGTTTACATCTGGTGGAGAAGTAAAAAAAGGACAGAATTTCAGCTCAGTGTGATGAATGTAATGACAGAGGTAAGCACAGGATGCTATGGGAGTACCCAGGACAGGTACCCTGCCCACGCTTGAAAATCAGGGATGTCTTCTCAAAATACATTCTATATAAGCTGACACTAAAGAATAAGAAAGAATTTTCTAAGCAAAGATGTGTGTAGAGGGGAAGGAGGAGTGGGGTTGTAGAAGGTAAGAATAGCAGGAAAGAATAGTCAAGAACAAGAGAACACTGGGTAAAATTTGGAGGCAAGAAAGCACAACCCCTTGAAAAAGTTGTGTCCAATGGAGCCCATGCTTCTGCTGTGTTCTCACTCCCCAAGTTTCCCCTTTTACTTCCCCGGCTTGTTGGCCTGGTCCCTGGGTCCCAATCCCAATATTTGTCTTTAGGCACTGAGACTTTCCAACCGAACGAAGAAACAGTACACTATTGGAGAAACAGTGAACCTGATGGCTGTGGATGCCCAGAAGCTCATGGATGTGACCAGCTTCATTCACCTGCTGTGGTCAAATGTTCTACAGATTATATTATCCATCTACTTCCTATGGATTGAGTTGGGACCCTCAGTCTTAGCAGGTGTTGCGTTGATGTTGCTTCTAATCCCAGTAAATGGGCTCATCGCTGTCAAGAATAAGGCTATTCAGGTAAACAGAGGCACCCTAGGATGTACACACCTTCTTCAAAGTCTAGAGATTTTCACTTGTTTTATTCTAACTCTTGGTGGGAGTATGGGCAAAGCAAGACTGGTGGAAGACTTTCCACCATGTCAAATGACTTGGCTTTCTCTGTCTTTCCTTTTCATGTTCTGACAATTTTCAGGGTTTAAATACTCTATCTTCATTCATGTTAGAGGGAAGAGCTTGATTGGAGAGAAAAGAGCTCCCAGGGTCCATGAACATAACTCTTCCACCCTGCTCCACCGGGCCCTTCTTAGAATAGTGATTACTGGCCCTGTTTCTTCATCCATAGCAATACAAACCAACCACACAGAAGGGCCACATGAGTGACTCAAACTTTAAGCCTAAACCCTAGCGATCAACCTTGCTACCACTAGATGGCAGGGTTCCATGTGGATGGTCCTTAGCTCTACCAGAAATCATAGGCTGGATGGATGAACTCAATGATGTACATGATTCATTCATTCATTCTGCATTCATTCAGTTACAAATTACTTTGAAAATATGTATTGTGCATCCTACTTTTCTGGAAAAACCAGCACATTGGACAAGGCTCTTGTTCTAAGGGAGCTTACATTCTACTTGGGCCACAAGCAAACAAAAACGAAGAAGAAAATATCAAGGCTCAGTAAGTTCTATGCAGAGAATTAATGAGATAGCAAGTGAATGGTGGTCGCAGGGCCAGGAAGGGCCTCTGTGAGGAGGGCCTACTTGAGCTGAGCTCTGAACAACACAAGCCTGGCCACCAAGGAGCAAGCCTGGAGAAAAGCAACCTGGGAAGAGGGCATAGTCAGGCCACTGCTGTGGGGGCAGAAAAACTTGGCACACTCAGGGATCGGAAAGAAGGTGGGTGTGGCATGGGCAGAGTGGGCAAAGAGGAGAGTGGGAGAGACATATCCCACCACTGGGCACCTCAAGGTCTTGCCAAGCGACAGCCACAGTGCCACTGAAACCTACGGTCTGCAGCAAATCTGGACCCTCTCACATGGAAGTATATTTTGTTTTTGTTTCACTTTTTTCCTGCAGGTAAAAAATATGAAGCAGAAAGACCAGCGTTTGAAGATAATGAATGAGATTCTCAATGGAATCAAGGTGAGTAGCCGACTGTAGGTGGCCCTCCTCTGCACACGAAGATAGCAGCTGGCAGGGGTGGGTCTCGGCCTTAGTGAGCCCTGGTAGAGATTGTGGACTCCTGCTTCTGGGCCTGTGGGGTGTCACGTGACTCCTGATTCATCTACCCACAAGTCTCTTGTTTCTCTTCCTCCTACCCCTCTCAGGCCCTCTTTTCAACCCTGATTTCCATTTATTTACCCTAAAAGGTTTGTTTTGTTTTGTTTTGTTTACATTACCTTATACATTTCTGCATGCACACAGAAGTAGACAGAGTGATGTAATCAACCCCCATGGACATCACCCAGCTCCCGCAGTAGTCAGCTTGACCTGACCAGTTTCACCTACCCTCTCTGCTCCCACTTCATTCCCTGCTAAGTTACTTTAAAGCAAACCTCAGAATGTCGTGTCACTTCATTAGTAAATACTTTGCATATATTTCTAAAGGGGAAGACTTAGTTTTTAAATATAACCACAATATTATCACACTTAAACACCTAAACATTATCACACCTAAAAAACATGTCATTTCTTGGTGCCATTAAACTTCCCCAATTGCCTTATACATCTCTTAAAAAATAAAAACAACAACTGTTGTTTAGTTTGAATGAGAATCCAAAGAATATCCCCACACAGCATTTAGTTGATAGTGCTTTTAACCTACAGTTGTACCCCCCCATATTTTGGGGCCATATTGGAGAAACCAAGTTGCCTCATTTCTGGTATTTCTTGTAAATTGGTAGTTAGATCTAAAACTTGATTAGATTCAGGTGTGATTTGTGGGCAGGGGGTTGGGAAGGATGCTTTTGGGTTGTGCTGTGCACTTCCAACATCAGAGGAGACGTGCATGCCGGGGTCCAGGCGCTGCCCGCCCAGGTCCCTCCCTCATTACATGTCCTGCCATCCGTGCACCTAGAGTGCTGATCTGGGGCTCTGGCAGCATGTCTGGGCCCCTTGGTAAGTGTGTAAAGTCCACTGAAGCTTGGGCCCGACTTCAAACCATTTAAACTGGACTCTCCAGGGGTAAGCCACAGGCATATATCATATTTTACAATCTCCCCAAGTAATTCTAGTATGCAGCTAAGGTTGAAAAGCCACTGTCATTGCCTTGATCTATTATTTCATTAGGAGTTACAAAGGGTAATATTTTAATTCTATTATTCCTTTAACATTGATTAGGTAGAATTCTATAAAGAAGAATTATCTTATTCAACTAGTCAATTACCTTAAATTAAGATTTGTACAGGATAGGAAGGATAACGCTTTCTTCTCTGCTCACCAGCTTTCAAAATAATGCATTCCATCCTCCAAAGGGGACCAATGAGATCTTTGGTAACGCATATGTTGTTTGAATTCAAGGATTTCACATCACCACAAAGTTTCTGGGAGTAGAACAGAGGCCCCTTTAATGCCCTCATATCTCTCCATGCGGAGCTCCGCTGTGCCTTCCTGCTCATGTGGCACAGTGAACAGACCTGGCTTTGAGTCTCAGCTCTGTCACTAGTTAGCTTGTGACTTGGGACAAGTTACTTAGCCTCTCTCAGCCTATTTCCTTATTATTAAAATGAATACAATAATTCTACAAAAGGAGACTAACTTGCCCTACTGCCCAGAATTTCACAGGTTTCTCATGGAAAGCCCTGTGTCCTGGGCAGCCCTTAGTCTCCGGCAGGCTGGAAGAGTTGGTCAACCTTAGATTGTTATAAGGATTAAGTAAAATAATGTGTATAAAATGTTCGTACATTAACAGGAAGCTAAACAACAAAACAAACAAGCAAGCAGAATAAAAACAAAGACACTGAAATAGAGAACAAGGGGACAGTGACCAGAGGGGAGAGGGAAGGGAATTTAAGGGGAAAAAAGGGGAGGGATTTGGAGGAACAAATAGGAAGGACACAGGGACAAGAACTAAGGGGGGTGGAAATGGGAGGGAGGTGGGAGCACAGGGTGGGGGGGGGGCTGGGATGGGAGAAATAGACAAAAAACTGTATTTGAAAAATAACTAAATAAAATTATTTTTAAAAATGTTTGTATAGCTCTGGCTGTTGTGGTAGTAGATTGAGCACCAGCCTGCAAGCCAAAGGGTCGCTAGTTTGATTCCCAATGAGGACAGGTGCCTGGGTTGCAGGCCAGGTCCCCAGTGGGGGTGCATGAGGGGCAACCACACATTGATATTTCTCTCCCTTTTTCCCTCCCCTCCCCTCTGTCTAAAATAAATGAATAAAACCTTTAAAAATGTTTGTATATAGTAACTTGTCAACAAATACAAGCCACCTTTCTGTAGTCATACTTGATAATCTGTATTTCTCCTCACCTCCCCAAATTTTGGGGACCATATCCTAAAACCTGGGCAGACAAGACATACCTGGTGTCCTCTGAGAACAGCAGTGTGAGCTGTGCTCTTTTCTATTCTATTAGATCCTGAAATATTTTGCCTGGGAACCTTCATTCAGAAACCAAGTCTACAACATTCGGAAGAAAGAGCTCAAGAACCTGCTCCGCTTTGGGCAGATGCAGTCGATAATGATGTTTCTCTTGTACTCGACTCCGGTCCTGGTGAGTGACATGTCTGTGGGCTGGGTCAGCTTTCTGAAGAAGGTCTGTCCTGGACAGACTGCCCAGAACCTGTAGGCCTGGCCCAGAAATCCGGGGAGCTCTGCCCTCCTCAACTCTCCACGCCGCCCTCGCTGCCTCGTGCCTCCAAGTCTAGTGTCACCCGTGTGTACAATTCGGCGGGCAGGGAGCCCAGAGCAAGTTACCAGGGTGTTCAGCATGCATGTGGTATCCAGGAATGGTTTGCAAAGGGGGGCCTCTTGTCTTCTTGGGGAGGCATGGGGGTCGACAGCGAAAGAAACACCGATACGAAAGCCAGGAGACCTGAGCTCTGGTCCCAACAATGCCATCCAGTGATTTTGTGACTCAGGCCAGATATTCCCTCCACTTCTGGGCTCAGCGTTCTCATCTGTAATGTGGGAAGGTTGAGATATTCCTAATGATTCCTTCAACTATTGCATTCCTGAGACTTAGCACAAAGCTGCTTGAGCCCTTTTAGGAATAAATGCTTCATGGCCTTGCTTTTCCAGGTGTCTGTGGCCACATTTTCAGTGTACGTCCTGGTGGATAGCAATAATATTTTGGATGCTCAAAAGGCCTTCACCTCCATCACCCTCTTCAATATCCTGCGCTTTCCCATGAACATGCTTCCCACGGTCGTCTCTTCCGTGCTCCAGGTAGGTGGGGACTTCCCCTGCTCACTGATCACCTCTGACTGAAGGCCACACTTAGACTCTAGAATGACTGGCCTATCACATCTCATGTCTAGCTTCTGCTGGCGAACTTTCAGATCTCAACTAAAGAGATTTGTGTGGTCTCTGAAGAATGGCTTGATCTTAGTAAAATCACAAGCTCTCTGAGCTCATTCATCTAACTGTGAATTAAGGATTCTCATCTACCTCACAGGGAAGAAATGTTTGTGAAAGCATTTGTGATTAGCCCTGGTACCTGGAACATTTCTAAGCCCTTTCCCCAACTTCGTTTTCCCCACATTTCCCCAAGGCTCTTGAGGTATTGATCCAGCACTAGAGAACTGTGGAATGCAGGGAGAAAAAGGAGCATCTCTCTACACAAAGCCATGAGGTGGTAAAACCAAAGGCAATTCAGGAGACCTGAGCTGTCAGAAAGAGAGTTTGGGGCTTAGGAGGCCTTGGATGGGCCCAAGGGGGCATCTGGGTCCTGCAAACTGAGCCTAGTCAGGGAGAGGGACCAGACCTCGGGGAAGACCACAGGGCAGGTGGCAGACTGGTGAGGCAGCCAGGGTGACCTGCAGCCATCTCGGAGGTGGCTGGCTGCAGACAGCTCAGGCCACTGGAAGGGCGGGGGTTTGGGAGAAGGCCTCCCTGTCCTGGGGGTGAGGGGAGGTGTTAAGAAAGCTGACAGGTGCAGCCGATAAAGGAACAACGTGCTCCTTTTAAGGGATTCAGTTTATTCCATAGACAGTAGGAGCAAGATCAGCAAAAGTGTCAGCCCCTAAGGCTCCCTGTCCTACAAGATGACACTGAAACAGAACAGACCAGAGGGTGACGCAATGGGGCAGTGGGGCGCTCTGTTTCCGAGGAGCTGGTGCCAGCAGCAGCTGAGCAGGTTTACAGTCTGTGGCCGTACCCTCAGGAGAGGGCAAGGCAGAGGGCCTCAGGCTTCATCAGGGCCCAGATGGTGACAAGAAACCAGCTCACGGCCACCTCCCTGGGGGACAGGAGAGAAACGTCCTGGAGAAGCCCGTGGAAATCTTCCCAAGTTCTCATGTTCCAGAGGCACCACAGGGTGTTCTGCAAACACGTGGATCAGCTGTGATTTAAGCTGGACCCGTGTGGCCTGTGTCCAAGTGTGCCATGGCCAATTCCTCTACAGAATCCAGGAGGGGCTCACTTAGGACGCTGAACGGGTCATCAGGCATGGACTCAGTTAAAAAAGAGCATGCCAGGGGAGTAGATGCCAGACCAGACAGAAGTTAGTGTTTTTCCCCCGAGGGAGGCAACAGACAGTTTCTGGAACTAGGTACAAAGATTGGGGAGAGAGCAGGAGTTACCCTTTCTCTCCTCCTCCCGCCAGTTTTCTGAAGGGTTGAAACAGAGCATCGTCATTTGCCCCTGTGCACGGGGGTGGGCTGGCCCCCAGGGCTCAGGTGAGGCTGAGTCTGTAGTGGGGCTCAGGAGGTTCCAGCAGCAGGTGGCAAATTATAGGCGAGAAGTCTGGCAGATTGATGATCTCCTTCCACATCCAAGGCTGAAAACAAAGTCAAAATCCTCCCCCTGCTTGTGTTTGTCATTGGATTTTTATTCTTGAGATCCTCTGTGTTCTTCTCTAGGCCATTGTTTCCAAAGATCGGCTGGAGAGGTACTTGGGAGGGGATGACTTGGACACGTCCGCCATTCGACACGACTGCAATTTTGGTAAATGAATTTGGAAGTTGTTTCCCCAACTTACTCACAGCGCTGGCACCAGAACTTTGAACAACGAGGGCTCGGCAGCAGCAAACTGATTGAAAGGGAGAGTGAGGGGCCTTATCTTGAACCTGTATTTGCATAGAAGCATACTATTTTTACTTAAATTATGTTTTCACTGGGAACGGAGTGCTTGGCCACATTGCTAAGCAAAGCTAAGTGAGCTGTTCTGAGGCTAAGCAGGGAATCCTGCAAAGCATCTAGAGAGCGGAATCAGGATGGAGCTGAGCCTACAGAGCTGGGAAAGCAGGTGGAGTGGAGGAAAATGCAGCTTGTGGAGGCTCGTGGGTGGGGAGGGCTCCACAGCCAGGGTGAGCCATGGGCCTGGAATCCTGGGTAGGGAGTCACTGGGTATATACATGCAGGTGGAACTTGACCTGGAGACTAAGCAACAGGGCCTGGGAATGTACCCGGAGGGTCTATAGGACTGAAATCTAGGCTCATCACAGGCCTTGGACGGACTCCTGAGCCAAAATGCACTTTGTACACAGGCAACGTCTGGACTCCCCCAAGAGCTTTCACTAGTGCGGAGCTAGCACCTGACAGAAGTGATCTCTGGGTTTGCTGGAGGAAGCAGAGAGGGCCACGTGAGGGCTGAGAAAGGGCAGGCAGGCAGATGGGGACTTACGTCTTACTAAAAAGAGGGGTTTTCTTGCCAACAGACAAAGTCGTGCAGTTTTCTGAGGCCTCCTTCGCCTGGGACCAGGATTCGGAAGCCACAATTCGAGAGTGAGTTGCCTCCTTTCCATCCTGCTGCTCTTCAGGGTTCTCCTTGCCTGTCCTGTGACTGAAAAATTCCATGCAGTAGAACACATGGGGAGATGAGCTGTGTGCACACCTTCAGTTAGACACCAGCACAGGCTCAGCCACTGCAGGGATGAGCTGACAGCAAAGATCTTGAGCCTCTTTGCTCCTAAATGCATCTACCGCCCTGCTTTCCTACTGTGGGACCACATGTATCCAGCTAAGAACCCATAGAGACATCTGTTCTTCAGATTGTGCCTGGTGGTACTGCCCAGTGGGCCGGTGGTCTGGGTGTTCAGGTATGGTAGAGGGTACACCTAAGACCCTCACCTCAGTTTAATTTCATTCATTCATTTAAGAATGTAATTAAGAACATTGGAGCTTCTTCCCTGAAGTGGGCAATGGGAATTGCCTCCGTAAGATTCAATTTCACGTCTGGAGTTTTATGTCTAAATAATCCATCCCTACCATCTACCCTGGAGGCTGCCCTAAGCCAACCTTTTCTTGCCATGGCGTTGCATGTAAATAACAGAAATCAAGCTTATCCACTGAGCACAGCACGTGCACACCACACCAGATCTTTCTTCTTCACAACCGAGCACACCTTATCACCTCCTTGCTACAGCCAGGCCTTTCCACCCTTCTCTGCTATTTTTGCGGCCTTGAACATGGACTCTGGAGCTTGCCCCAGGATGTGTCAGGCCAGAACCTCCTCTAAATCTGCCCAACCTGAAAGCCTATCTCTGCAGAGAGAAGACTGGACATAGCTCCCCCCTTTTCTAATATAAGTTCAGCTCAATGGGCAGGTTCAGAAAGACTATGAACAAGTTCCTGGGGTTCCTAATATCCCAGGTACTCCAACAATAGAGCTGACACACAGAGGTTCCAGGAGTCGAGCCTAGTGCAGACCCTCTCCAGCCAGACACAGCCAAATAAATCTCCAGGGGAGGAGTCAGGACTGGGTGCTTGCAGCCAGTGTTCCATTGAGTGGCTAGTCTCATTGAAGAGCCAAGTTTGGGAAACATTAATCTAGTCCAAGATCATTACTTTAGAAATGAGAGTCCAGAGGATGAGACATTTCAACACCACACAGCTCGGCAGTGACAAAGTTGGGACTTGAATTCAGGTCTCCAAGATCTTGTTCAATAGTCCCATGTTGGTTCTAAGAGAACTTGTCCAGTGGAAACCCAAGTTTAGCACAAATAGCTTATAGATGACTCGAACACATTAGGGTCACTATGTATTCAAGTCCCAACTTTGTATTTGTATTAGGGTCACTAGGCTCTGAGAGCTTAAAAATAAATCATTAAAGAAGCACTTTGGAGTCTTTTATATCCAAGGCAAATTTTCCAGTCTTGAGAGATAATCTCCAAATACCAGACTTCCCAGAGAGTCTGAGAAGTGGTTTGAATGCCTCTTGGATAAGTCCCCTCCTCTCCTTCAAATTTACTTCTCTCTTTCAGCGTGAACCTGGACATTATGCCGGGCCAACTAGTGGCTGTGGTGGGCACGGTGGGCTCTGGGAAATCCTCCTTGATGTCAGCCATGCTGGGAGAAATGGAAAATGTTCACGGGCACATCACCATGAAGGTGAGAGGGGATGCCAAGGAGAAGGCCCTGGCACTCACAAGAGGGCCACTTCTTGCTGCCTCTTCGTGTGGCAGAAGGCACTGAGGTCTAGACTCTGACCATCTCTGCTATCGTGTTGCTGTATGGGTAAAGGTCTTGCAGACATCTGATAGACTTGTGACCTACATATTCTTTGCCCCATCTCACATATAGAATCAGAGTCGAGGGGTAGATTCTAAGCATCTGCATGTTTAATGAGCTACCCAGGTCATCACCATATGCACCAAAGTTTGAAAACCGTTGAATAGAGAGAGGTCTTCCTTCAGAGCATAGGCAAATCCTGCTGTATCGACATATGCATTTCTGAAAACTTCATGTTCCACAAAATTATGCAATAAAAACAACCAGACCTGGGAAAAGTGTTGGAACAGATTATAAACTTATATCACTTTGTGACCAGAGTACCAAAAATCCCTAATAACCAATAACAATAAAATCAGGGGTATTGTAAGATCCCCGCTGGCAACTGTACCCAGCATCCCAATTAGTCCTCAGCCTCCCACCCTCTCTTTTGGGGGCACTTGCTTCCAACACAAAACTTTGGTGTAAGGTGTAGACATCTTTATCAATTATGTTGTTAAAAGAGAAAACATCTTTGCAGCATCTCCTCAGCACTCCCAGCTTCCCCAGAGAGCTACATTTGGGGAAACTATAGGTACTTTGCATCATTTAACCAGCCATGAATTACACCAAAAGAGGCATGCATATAGGTTTTTATGTTTTCCTCAAGATCTTTGTATATTGCTAACCTTTCTTTTAATTATGAGAAAGCTCGCCCCTGATTGCTTTTCATGGACATGCTTGGGTCATTGGTAAGAGCTTCTACTTCATACTGACATTATTCCCATGATTCCCTCAATCACAAATGAGGTAATTTGCATTAAATCCACATGTGGTATAGCAGAGCAGACTCTACAGACTTTTTTCAATTACAGTTTACATTCAGTATTACTCTGTGTTAGTTTCAGGTGTACAGCATAGTGGCTAGACAATCATGTACTTTATAAAGTGGCCCCCTGATATTTCAAGTACCTTCCTGGTACCATACAGTTATTACAATAGTTCTGACTATATTCCCTATGCTGTACTTTACACCCCTGTGACTACCCTGTGACTACCAATGTGTGCTTCCTGATCCCTTCACCCTTTTCACCCAGGCCCCCTGATACCCCTCCTCTCTGGCAACCACCATAGAAACAGTCTGGGCTCTGCATCTATGCAGAATCTACAGATTTAACTCTGTCTCTTAGCTCCTCCTAGGAAGCTTTTTCTTGTTGCCTCATAACTGAGTTTTTCCTCAGACACAGGCATCTGTCAGCTCATTTTTGGGCATGATCTACTTCATGCATCAGCCCCTATTTCCAGTCTCTCGGTTCTTGCTTCCTCGTGTCCTCTGCACCATTCCCTGGTCAGGGTTGGCCTTCTGTTAGTCCTAGTAAACTCACTGGGGTCCGACTGCAGCCCTATTCTAGCAGCAGCACGTGCAGTCATTCTCCAGTTTTCAGGATCAGGGCTAGAAGGTGAGTGTCAAACAAACGGGACTTTACATGAGGAGCAGGACTTTGAGCTCTTTCTCACTTGAGGTTGGTGTGATAAATACAAGCACATTTATAAATATCAGATGTTCAGTCAACCTGACATACATTTCTGCAAATCTAAGTTTCCCTTGATCCTCCCGGCTTCCGCCCTGTTCCTTCAGCCCCGCATTTCTAGAGGTACAGCTGTCGTGTGGTCTGATCCTCTCCCACACAGGGCTCCATAGCCTACGTCCCCCAGCAGTCCTGGATCCAGAACGGCACCATAAAGGACAACATCCTTTTTGGATCAGAGTTAGATGAAAAGAGATACCAGCAAGTGCTAGAGGCCTGCGCCCTCCTCCAAGACCTGGAAGTGCTGCCTGGAGGAGACCTGGCTGAGATTGGAGAGAAGGTACTTAGAACCCCGAAGGGTGAAAAATAGCAAAAAAAAAAAAAAAAAGTGAGGATGGTGAAGAAATACATGGGAATAAAATAACTGACCAAGTTTGGTGGCCATGTTTGGATCAAATACCAGAAAACATGAGTTTGCACAATATCATATACAAATAACTCAGAAGTTTAAAATTTTGTACCCGGAAGCAAATACAGGGGTTATGTCACCTGAAGGAAAGATGATGAGGTGAGGACCCAGGAGGTTAAGTAACCGGGACTGGCCCACAGTTGACGGCGTGGTGGAGGGACAGCAGCAGTACCAGCCTAGCTGTTCTCTGCTCTGTATGTTAGAGTCAGAGAACGGTTCTCATAATCTGCTCTGAACAGTCAGATATTGAGTGGGACTTACTTCCTCATGTTATTGAATGCCCTCCTTAAAAATGGATTTTTAATGATACCGTAGATCGTATCCATTATGTGAATTTGGCATAATTTGTTTAGAAACCCCCGTCTATCACATATTTAGGTTGTTTTCACCCTTCCTCTTGTTAAAAAAAAAATCCAACCAAGTGAACTTGTAGATCTGATTGGCTTTATTTAAGTGATTTGTGACTGGGGCAGCATCCCATCTGACTACTCCAAGGTGCTCCACAGGTTGTACAGAAATAGAAAAAAGGGGTGGGGAAAAGAAGCTATTAGGGGAAAAAAGAAATTATTTTGGGGGGCACTTGGACATCTGTTTTCTTGTTGTTTCTGTTTTGAGAGAAAGAGACCAGGAAAGGGTTTTGTCATGCAGATTGCCTCTTCTTTCTGGGGCGAGGTTGGGGAAGGTTGGAGAAGGCCCACCTGACAGACAGCCTCATTGGTCTTACCCAGAAAATTTCACACTGGTTGATTAAGACTATGCTACTGGGTGAGTCTGAAACAGAAATTAGCTCGGGTATTAAGTCTGGGTTTGCTATCCTGGGCTTTGGCACAAGTGATCCCACTTTGGGCCTGTGGTTTTCTCTTTAATTGTCCCCATTACAAAAACTACCTACAGCAGTCTTTGGGGACAACGATCTTGAAGTGTTAAAAGACTTGTGAAGATACAGCTCTAGAGTGATTTTGCTTATCAATTCCACATACATTTATTGAGGAGCCATGTGTCAGGGAGGATTTTAAGTGCTGGAGTTACATCCATGAATGAAATAGAGAAAAATCTGCCTGGTACAAGTTACGTTCTCACGGGACAGGAAGCAACAAAAATAAGTAAATGGCATGGTAGAAAACGGTGAGGTGGGCCTACCTTTAATTATAGGGCCTAAAGTGATTTAGTTGACTCTAAGTTATGTATTTGTATAAAGCAAGATTTTTAAGCCCTTGATACCTTATTGAGGCAAATTTCTTTCGTACCCTTCCTCAGTCACCTCTGTGAAGGCAGGACTATGGCATAGGGCTTAGGAGAAATGATTTCCCTCCTCAGGGTATAAATCTCAGTGGGGGTCAGAAGCAGCGGATCAGCCTGGCAAGAGCCACCTACCAAAACTCAGACATCTACATTCTGGACGACCCCCTGTCGGCTGTGGACGCTCACGTGGGAAAACACATTTTCGATAAGGTCTTGGGTCCCAATGGCCTATTGAAAGGCAAGGTAAGAAATCATTTAAAGTGACAAAGGCATGAGGTATGTGTGTGGCGGAGGGGCAGAGGGGGGTTACACACATCTGCTGGGGACAGCTGCTGTCCTGAAGCAGAGTTCCGTATTTACCTGCCTCCCTGGGCTGCTGTAGAGATAGTGTCAGACTGGTCTCCCAGGGGCTGACACCGTGAGGGCTTCCATCTTGAGATCATGGCTAAGTTTAGCCTTACTCTGTGGCTTGGACATTGAGCCTGTTAGGATGATTGATTATAATAAATACTTTGAGACCTGTGATGTAATAAGATATATATGTGGTCTTTGTCTCCAATTCCTGACACAGAACTGCTAACCCTTGGAATTTCCTGAGTCATATGAGGAGTGTCTTTTATTCATAATGATCCCTTTACATAACACAGGAGTCTGTGTTATTAAGTGACTTAGGGTGGAGCCCTCAGATAGGACTAGGCTGTTCACCAGAAAAGCCACGTCATGGGTTGGGACCTTAGTTCCACCCAATGACCTCTGGGGATGGAGGGAGTGGGGACTGGAGACTGGGCTATAAAAATCCTTTAACAGGGACATTCAGAGACCTCTGGGTTGGTGAGCCCTTTAAGGTGCGGGGGCAGTGCACCTGGTGAGAACGTGGACGTTCCAACGCACACCCCTCATTCCTTGCCCTACGCATCTCTTCCATTTCACTGCTCTTGAGTAGTATCCTTTATAATAAATTGATAAACATAATAAAGTGGTTTTCTAACATCTCTGGGCCATTCTTGCATACTATCACCTGAGGAGGGGCCTGGGGGACCCCTGATTTATAGCTAGTTGGCCAGAAGTATGGGGGGGTCAAGCCCTGAGAGTAGCATCTGAAGCCAGGGCATCCTGTGGGACCGAGCTCTGAAACTGTGGCATTTGTGCTCACTCCAGGTAGTTAGTGTCAGAAATGAACTGAACTGCATTGTCGAACACCCAGCAGAGTCAGAGAACTGGTGTCAGGAAACATCCCAGAGAACCCAACAGTTCCCCTTCCGGCAGGACACGGGTCACCCTGCAGGTGTTAGAGCTGTGCTCTAAAGAGACACCTTCCTGGAATCTTTGCAGGATGTAGGAACGCTATACCTGAAAAGGGTGACTCAGCCTGAACGTGGAAATAAAGCTGATATTTTTTGTAACTTTTTTTTTAACTTTTAAAAATATTACCTATTTATTTATTTATTTCTAGACGGGAAGGGAGGGGAAAAAGAGGGAAGAACAACAATGTGTGGTTTCCTCTCACGTGGCCCTTACTGGGGACCTGGCCCTTGCCCTGACTGGGGATTGAACTGGCAACCCTCTGGTACACACACCAGCACTCAATCCCAAGCCTCATCAGCCAGGGCTTTTTTTTTTTTTTTTGTAACTGTTATATCCCAGGCCTGTGCTAATCACTTTGATTGCATTGTCTCACTTGATTCTCACAATGCCACTGTGAAACGGCACAGACTAAAAGGGCCAGAATAAGTCATTAGAGCTGGTGGTAGGTAGAGACTAGCCTTTTCTTACCATGGACAAGTTAGCACATTTGTCCTCACGGAGTGGACCAAATGGGGGAGGGACCAACAGAACCCCTCAAGGGTTTGAATATGCTCCTCACCAGCAGCAAGTACAGAGTGGGGGCTGTCACTAACAACATCTCCCTCGGCACCAAGCAGTAAGTTTCTATCTGTATTTGGCCTGTTCCCTTCAAGATTTCCTGAATGTTGCCAGTCAGGATGGCAGGGTTGACTGGGCTGCTGTTCTACTGAGATCTTTTGCTTTTCCGTTGGATCAGTGAGTCAACAGGAACTCACTCTCCCTCCTACTCCTCCTCCTGACTTGGGTCCTTAAGGTCTCTTGGCTCCATTTCCTAATGAACTGAATATCCACCCTGTTCCTGGTTTGTTTCAAAGACTGGTCATGCGTAGGTAAATATCCGGTCCCTGAACTCAAGGAACTTACAATCTAATGGGAAGACATATAGAGAAACAAACACAATATAATAATACAAGAATTATTTTAATGGCATTCTACATACACTACAATGGAAACATTGGAGGAATACCCCAGTTTTGCCTGGGGACTCAGGAAAGTCTCCCAGAAGAGTTGGTTTTGAGCTGACACTTGAAGAATGAGCATCTCCTGGGTCTTCCCCATAAGAAGGACCTAGTGCCTGTGGGTCTGTGGAGTAGACAGAGGCAGGGGGCTTGGGTGATCTCTTCAGAAGCCCTTCTTAGTTCCATGGCTTCTATCTGAGCCCCATTACTGATCCACAAGTGCTTGTCTTTCTCGGAGTGGAGTCCCTGTGTCAGTAGTCAATATGGTTCATCAATAGACGGGAATACAAGGAATATATATCCCGCACCAGAAAAGGCCTGGTCCAAAGACAAAGTTTCTTGTCCTCCAATGTCATTAATATGCTGGAAGAATCTGGGTAGTTCTTGTTGGCTCAGATTGCTAGCTGGTTAGTGAAAGGGGCAGTTAGTTAGCTAGTTATTAAGTTTGTTAATGCCGAGTGACATTCCTAAGCCCAATTCCTAGCTACCTGAGAAGCTAGAAGAGAGTGTGTGTAGGGCACACCTCATTGTCACTATAAAAAATAACTTTTTTAACCTGGCTGGTGTAGCTCAGTGGATTGAGTGCGGGCCTGCAAACCACATGATCACGGGTCAATTCCCAGTCAGGGCACATGCCTGGGTTACAGGCCAGTTCCCGGCAGGGGACACATGAGAGGCAACCACACATTGATGTTTCTCTCCTTCCCTCCTTCCCTTCCTCTGTAAAGATAAATAAATAAAATCTTTTAAGAATAACTTTTTTTTAAAAAGTACATCCACAATGACAATAATTTCATCTTACACATGGGTCAGGTTTTAGGATGAGGTGCTAGGAAGGAAAGAGGAAGTAAAAGAGGCCAGGTGGTCAGGGCCACATTTCAAAGCAAAACCATACAGTGAATTGAGGCATCTGTTCTTCCTTCTTCAGAGCAGGACAAGGAGGGTGGTGGACACAGGGTTCTTAGCACAACTTACTGTATTTTACAGACTCGACTCTTGGTTACACATAGCATTCACTTTCTTCCCCAAGTGGATGAGATTGTGGTTCTGGAGAATGGCACGATCTCAGAGAAGGGGTCCTACAAAGCTCTGCTGGCCAAGAAGGGATTATTTGCTAAAAATCTGAAGACATTTAAAAAAGAGACGGGGCCTGAAGGAGAAGCCACAGGTATGTAAGTGTGATTGGAACGGGATGGAGCATGGATAGGGCGAGGAATGGGCATGGTAAGCCGAGACCCACCTCCTGGACTGCTCAGGATCCAGTGAACCAGATTTGAGTGTGAATTACCCAGAGATCCAAACTCAGCTCTTTCTGTGTTTTGTGTCTCTGTAAAGAAACACAGACGTAGAAACTCTATGCCTGAATGAAACTGAAGGTTCATCCTGCTTATCTGGTCTTTGCCATGTGATCACAGGGCACTCTTTAGAAGGGTCTGACTGGAGGTTTGGTGTGATTGGCCCTTCCCTCCAGCCTTGGGTCCTGGTCTCTGAAGCCAAGAAGTAGCCAACCCCTGAACTGCCTTCAGACACATTTTCCCCTTTTCTTGAAGGATAACGCATATTTGTGGCTGGATAGTTCTACTGACCCATTTTCTTCCTGCAGAATCCCAGAATTCTGGGAGTGTCCCTTGAATTTTTCTCATCTCTGTCCCCTACAGTCCAAGCTGGCAGTGCTTTGTGAAGACGGTTGACTGAATCAAGTCACATGCCTAAACTCTTTAGCAAATCTACTGTTGAGCTCTTCTAGTAAACTTTTTATTCAGTTATTATAGTTTTAAACTCTAGAATTTCTATTTTCTTCTCTTTAAATAATTTCTATTTCTTTTTTTTTACATTATAGATGATGCAACCCTTTATATATTTTTTATAGTAAATGAGCTGGTTTTTTAAAATTGATTATGCCCTTACAGTTGTTCTATTTTCCCCCTTCATTCCCCTCCACCCTGCACACCCCTCCCCCACCATTCCTCCCCTTTACTTTATGACCATGTGTCTCAAGTTCTTTGGATTCTATATTTGCCATACTAATCTTGCCCTCCCCCCTATCTATTTTCTACCTACCATCTATGCTACTTATTTTCTGTACCTTCTCCCCCCTTCTCCTCCTCCCACTCCCCTGTTCCTAACCCTCCATGGGATCTTCATTTCTATGGTTCTGCTCCTGATCTAGCTGTCGTCTTAGTTTGCTTTTGTTTTAGGTGTGGCTGTTAATAACTGTGAGTTTGCTGTCCTTCCACTGTTCATCTCTTTTTTATCTTCTTTTTCTTAGATAAGTCCCTTTAACATTTCATATAATAAGGGCTTGGTGATGATGAAATATTTGGATTTGATCTTATCTGAGAAGCACTTTATCTGTCCTTCCATTCTAAATGAAAACTTTGCTGGATAGAGCAATCTTGGTTGTAGATCTTTGGATTTCACGACTTGGAATACTTCTTTCCAGCCCCTTCTTGCCTGTAAGGTTTCTTTTGAGAAATCAGCTGACAGTCTGATGGGAACTCCTTTGTAGGTGACTGTCCCCTTAGCTCTTGCTGCTTCTAGGATTCTCTCCTTCATTTTAATCTTGGCTAATGTAATGATGATGTGCCTTGGTGTGTTCCTTCTTGGGTCCAACTTCTTTGGGACTCTCTGAGCTTCCTGGCTTTCCTGGAAGTCTATTTCCTTTGCCAGATTGGGGAAATTCTCCTTTATTATTTGTTCAAATAAGTTTTTCACTCATGGGTGTTCCTCTTTCCCTTCTGATCTTCCCCTATAATTCAGATGTTGGGACGTTTAAAGATGTCCTGGAGGTTCCTAAGCCTCTCCTCATTTTTTTGAATTCTTGTTTCTTCATCTTTTTCTGTTTGGTCATTTTTTTCTTCCTTCTGGTCTACTCCCTTGATTTGAGTCTCCATTTCCTTTCCATTACTATTGGTTTCCTCTGCATTTCCCTTCATTTCAATTAGTTTAGCCTTCATTTGTTCCTTTAATTTGTGACTAAAATCAACCAGTTCTGTGAGCATCCTGATCACCAGTGTTTTGAACTGTGCATCTGATAGGTTGGCTCTCTCTTGGTCACTTAAGAGTTATGGGCTCTGGGGCTTTGAGTTGTTCTTGAGCCATGTTTTGGTCTGTTCACACCTGTTACCTATGAGGAGTGGAGCCTTAGGTGTTCACCAGGGTGAGGTGACCCAGTCGCTGGGTTGTGATGCTGTATGTGGGGGCAGGGTCAAAGGGGCAATGGCCGTCTTTTCTGCTGCTTCCTGCCACTGGGGCCTGCGCAGTCTGTCTCAATGCTTACTCCTTCGCTGGTTTATCTGTGCGCAAATGTGCGAGGTCAGCCTGCTGCCTTGCACCCTCACTGGGTCTGCCTGTCACAACCCCAAGCCTGGGACCTACCAACCGCCGCCCACGTGCCTGGGTTGGTCTGGAGGAGTTTTCCTGTGCAACCTGGCTCTGCCAGTTGCTGGCTCCACCCCTCTTACTGGTCTGGATGAAGGATTTGTTGTCGTCGGATTTTAGTATAGTTCAATTTTCTGTGTTTTGGCTGCGTTTTTTGTTACTAAAACTTTGCTGTCTTTAAGCTTGGTTGTGCAAGAAGGCACAATGTTGCCACCTACGCCTCCATCTTGGTGGAAGTTGTACTTCTTTATTGATGTTCTCTGCTTGGTGAGAACTTACTCTCATATTTTCCAGTAGCTCTTTAGACAGGATTTTCTTTTGTCCTTTGAACATATTTATAATAGCCGATTTAGAGTCTTTGTTCAGTAAGTTCACTGTCTGTGCTCCCTCAGGTGCAGTTTCTGTGGACTGCTTTTTTCCTGTATATGGTCCTATAATTTCCTGTCTTTTTGTATGTCTTATAATTTTTTGTTGAAAACTGGTCATTTGAAATAACATAACCCTCGGGAAATAAGATTTTTCCTTCTTCTGCCAGGGTTTGTTATGTTGTTCCACCTATGTAGTTTCTTGAACTATTCTGTTAAATCTGTATCCTTTGTCACCTGTGGCAACTGAAGTGTATGCTTGGTTGACTGAGGGGTCAGTTAATAACTGAACATTATTTCCTGAAGTGCTGGGAACCAGTAAGTCATTCTGCCTTTTCTAAGAGGCTGGGAGAAGAGGTGAGGGCATGTCTTTAACACTCCACCAGGCAATTTACAATTCTGTCTCTGCCAGGGACATTTTGTTTTTGGTTTTTTCTGCTTACACAGAGCCTGATGGTTAGCCAGAGGTGAGAGAACAGGGCCTTGTCAAGTTTTCTTGGGCATGTATGTAGCCCTACACATCTGTGTGACATTTTAGATGACCAGGAATATGTATCAAAGCTCTTTATTAATATCTCATTTCCAGTTTTTCCTTTGAAGGTTTTGGTCAGCTTCTTATTTACCCAACTGCAATAACAACCTCAGGCAGCAGTGATGTTGAACAATTGCTGCTAGCTGTCTGAGCTAGCTAGCTCTGAGTCAGGTCCAATAAAGACCAACTCTATGAGTGAGGTTTTCCTGGGAATGGCCAGACAAGTCAAATGAGGAAGATTCTCCAGGGGTAAGGTGTTGGGAGTGGGGGATCCAAACCAGTTTATTCCCTCCAGCAGCCTCTAGGCTGCTGGTTTTTATCGTTAATATGATTGTGAGGCTGTTGGTTTTCCAGGCTATAGCAGATCTGAGGAGAGGGGGATGGGAGTAAATTAAATGATCATAAAGCTTACTATTCTTACTAATATTTAGTCATTTTCCTTAAATTAATGTTCCTTGGATTGTTGCAAGCTTTTGGCTAATTTCAGAGTTACGAAAAAGTTGATTTTGACAACTTTTTTGCTATTCTCATTGACTTTATGGAGGTACCAATTTCTGGATATCCTTACTCTACCATTCTGATGCCAAGGTTATGTTTGCATTTTATTTTATTTTCAGGGCATGTTTTTAAATACTTTAAATTTATAAAAAGTTTGTCAAATTATTAGAATTTCAAGAAGGGGATTTTAAATTTATATTTACCTCTTTAGTCAGTTCTAAGGTATGACTCTTGTGTTCATCTATGATAACTCTTAAAAGTTATTTTTTGCTCCAAAGCAACTTAGAAGATTCTGGGAATATTTTTCTCATTTTGACCATTTTATCTTCCGGTGGACTATTAACTCATTTCTCTTTTATCTTGGTATTTATCAATGAGAAAATGTACCAATAAGTAATATTTCTGGAGTAAAACATTCCAGCCTATGTAGACATCTGGGATCTCCAGTGAGCCCGGCAGTATCAGAAAAGACATCCCTCTCCTTGTCCACAGGGCCGTGAGAGCTCTGTGCAGCTATCTCTCTAACTTTAATGTGTTTCCTAGTCAATGAGGACAGTGAAGAAGAAGATGACTATGGGTTGATGCCCGGTGTGGAGGAAATCCCCGAGGATGTGGCCTCCTTGACCATGAATAGAGAAAACAGCCTTCGTCGGACACTTAGCCACAGGTTGGTCATCTCTTCAGCTGGCAGCCCCCATTCCTTCCATATTTCCTCTTGGTCATTCTCTTTTTTCTATGTGCATAGTGGACATCAGGAACACTCCCTACTCTTCCTTTGTTTCCTTGTATGGGGATGAGGGTTGGGGTAGTTTGTTTCTCCAAGGCCACCTGATTTGAAATGAACTTTGATGCAATCAGAGAGATTGTGACATCTGCTTGTGAGAAGACCCTCATGCTCAGGAAAGCCTCCTCCTTTTCAATTTCTCAGATCTAGGTCAAATAGCAGGCCTCTGAAGCCCCTGAAAAACTCCTTGAAAACTTGGAATATGAATACCCAGAAGGAAGGGGAAGAACTGGTGAAAGGACAAAAATTAACTAAGAAGGAATTCATACAAACTGGAAAGGTGAACACAACAGTAAAATGTACCATTAGAGGTGATACGAGGCTTAGAATCCCAACATTTCAAAGTTTGATGACTTGAAAACACATCTCTGGAAGGGCTATGTGTTATGCTTGCTTTGCCAATCTTTAAATTCATTATCGAAATGTTGATAGAGAGTCTTGGCTTTCTATCAAATCATATTTCATGAAGAATGATGTTTCCTGTGAATATCTTCATAGCACACTTCCTGGGTGTTTGATTCCATGCTAATATGTGGAGCAAACACCAAAAGTGCTTTGAGATGAAATTCTGGGAGCCGGAAGTCACTAATACATCTCAGAGTACACAATTCAAATGAACAAAACTTAAAACCAAGGTCTTAAATTTAAGGTCTTAAATCCAAGTTGATGAAATAAATTCCAGGGTATGCAGTATAACCCCATTTGTCACACTCCATTTGTCTATCTTCCCCTTTTAATTGCTTCTAGAACCTCATTAATAATCTGATGGTCATTTACCTTGCGTTGTATTTAAGCATTGATTATTATCCTGGCCCAATGCAGAAATGATAACCACAGTCTACCAAAGTCTTCTACTTGTGATCCATTTTTTTCCAGGGACCACACTCCTCCTTGTGATTGGTATTCTAGGTAATTCTCCACCAAAAGCCATTATGAATTCTACTAACATTGAGATGTGGGCTTTGCAGGTCAAGTCCTCCATCTACCTGAAATACCTGCAAGCAGTAGGATGGTATTCAATCTTCTTCATCATCCTTGCTTATGTAATTAATTCTGTGGCTTTGATTGGATCCAATCTCTGGCTCAGTGCTTGGACCAGTGACTCTAAAAGCTACAATGGCACCAACTATCCACCCTCTCAGAGGGACCTGAGAGTTGGCATCTATGGAGCTCTGGGATTAGTGCAAGGTATGACTGATGGCTACAACAGCCATTTCTTATACAATCTGTCTGGTCAATGGGTTTTGCCTAGACTCAGGCAAAGAATTGCCACTGTGTCCTTGGCACAAGACTTCAGGGATCCCTGTGCATGGTGCTGACTGCACTGTTTCCATTTCTAGGTATATTTGTGCTCACAGCAAATCTCTGGAGCGTCTATGGCTTCACCCACGCATCAAACCTCCTTCACAAGCAACTGCTGAACAATATCCTTCGAGCACCCATGAGTTTCTTTGACACGACACCCATAGGCCGGATTGTAAACAGGTTTGCTGGTGTAAGTATCTCAAAAACTGTAAGATTATGTGTTTTTATGCTGAGGATCTTTCTATTTCTGACAGGGAAAGAATGCTCATGTCCCCCTGGGCAACACTGTGCAGTTCTTTTGTCCATCAGCATACAAATGACTTCTTGAGTACTTTGGGTGAGGTCGCAAGGATTCTGGGGATATAGAACTGAACAGTTCTGACCCTTTAAGTAGCTCACCATCTAGTGAGTAAGACAGCCAAGGAAATAAAAGATTGTAATATAATATGGTAAAACCAAAATAACAATGATGTGTACAATGGTATTGTGGGAATACAAAAGAATGACAGAGAAAGGAGGGTGTGGCTCAGCCTGAGTGGTTTAGGGTGGGAAATGTGAGAAAGGGTGAGACTTAAGTTATAGAAGTTTAACCAGGGAGACAGCGGGTGTAGGGGTGGGCAGGTGGCAGTAGAATCAGGGTGAGGAGAATTGGTGTGCAGAGGGAAAACACAAGTAACAGTATTATCACTGACTACAACAATGAATTAAAGGAATAGCAGGATAACCCTTTCCTTGGTCTCCACCTCCATTCCTGAAACCTCTGGCATTTATGCTTTAAGAATAAGTAAATTAGATACAGGTTATGGAAGAGAGGCACCGGTGGTTTTAAGGAGGTTCTAAAACATTGTCTCTGTCTACTGTAGATCATTCGTTCATTTATTCATTTGATGACATTTATTGAGCATCTTCTATGAGCCAAGGACTGTCCTAGTTATTGGAATGCTCAATAAATGTTAAGATTATATAGATGGCTCTCTTCCAGGGGCCAGACAAATTCATTGATTTTTTTTTATATCATCACCCAAAGATATGCTTATTGATCTTAGAAAGAGTGGAAGGAAGGGAGTGAGAGAGGGAGAAAAACATCAGTGTGAGTGGGAAACATCAACAGGTTGTCTCTCATAGGTGCTCCAACCTGAGACCAAACCTGCAACCTAGGTGTGTGCCCTGACTGGGAATTGAACCTGCAACCTTTCAGTGTATGAGACAACATTCCAACCAACTGAGCTACCCGGCTAGGGTGAAACTCATTGACCCTTAATGCATAATGAGATGGAGCTTTTAGGAACAGAGGCAAAAACTAGGCAATTCTGAGTAGTATTCAGTGATCGCCAGCACAGTTTTCAGTCCTCTGCAGAAGAGGGAGTACATCTTTTTAAATGTCTGAGCAGCTCTGGACCCTTTTTTGTGTGGTCTTGAAGTAGACACAGAAAGGCTACCTCATAACCCACTGCCGAGTTTGGGGACACAGTGACTGCTTCAAGGGTGGGCATTTACCACCTTCCTCTGGGACAAGAATGGTGGGCCTGATGTCACTGGAGATGACTTTAATGGGCTCTCTCCTCTTTAACAGAACCTTAAAAGGCACACCATTTTCAACAGGGAGATTTCACACAGGTGCAAAAATTGCAACCTGTTCCTGGCATTGTAATATCTAATTAATCTTCTGAAAAAGAGAACACAGAGATCTTACTGTGAGTTGTTTAGGCAACAGTTGTATTTGGCTGCTTTTGCAGCAAAAAAAAAAAGAAGCTGTCATTAATTATATAGTGAGTTTTATGGGGGAAGTGGCTCAGGCCCATAAAGGACAGTTTGATCGAGGGTCCTCTAGAACTGAAGGCTGAGCTCTTAAGGGGAGATGGATGAGGGGGTGGAGGAAAGAAGGAGAATTTGTGCCAGGTAAGAGTGAAAAGCAATGTGCATAGAACAGAGAGCTGGTGAGGATTTATTTCTTTCTGCCAACCCTGGACATACTATCATTCACATTCTGATGTATACTCAGGAGTCATCCACTCTTCAGGACTCTATTAGGAAACTGTTATCCCTTGCCCAGTTTGGGACACTCCAGAGATAATATGGAGTCCATTTGATACTCACACATTACTAATCTTCAAATCAACAGATTCTAAGAAATATAGGCAAGGGAAATCCAAAAATATAAGCTATTCTTCCTTTGTATACTCAACCATCCATCTATTCTTTCATCTACTCATTTGCTCATTTATTCAGCAGGACGTAAAGGGGATATGGCAGTGAGACCCACTCATCATCTCTGGTTAGAACACTAACCAGGAGAGGACCCACCTCCCTCTCCCCTTGCAGTTCTACGCTTGACAGAGGAAACAACTTTCCAGGTTCCTCAGTCAAGGTGGCGCATGGCATCTGGCAGGGCTTCTTGACTGGAGCCACCAGTCAAATGTTTATTGAATGCTTGTGAGATGCCAGGCTCTATTCAAGGTACTCGATGGAACTGGGACCTGTGTACAGTTAGAATGATCCAATCGACTTGGCTAGAGGAGGGTTTACCTTGTAAGGCTCTATTAGCTTAGGGCGGTTATGAATGGTTTAATAAATTTCACAAATGGGAATTTCACTTAAAAGAGTAAATCTATTGAAGGGTGACTGCCATATCTGTTTGGAGGGATTTAGAAAGCTAAAGACATCACAGAAATGGCATTGCTTTTCAGGGTGAGCAGAACAGTCTATTGCAAATGAATATCATGAAGCGATTAAATGAAGGAGTCGCAGAGAACTCAAAATTGAACACATTTCCTGCTGGAAGCAGGAAAATCTAAAATGCTGTAGGAATTCATCAGTATACCATCTTTCCTGACTGTGTTCCTAGGATATTTCCACACTGGACGATACCCTCCCCATGTCCTTGCGCAACTGGATTTTGTACTTCCTGGAGATCATCAGCACCCTTGTCATGATCTGCATGGCCACTCCAGTCTTCGTCATCCTCATCATTCCTCTTGCTGTCATTTATCTGTCTGTTCAGGTAGGCTCAGAAATGGCCAAGTCTCCTTTCTTCTCTGTTTATAAAGCCCAGCTTCCTTCCTGGAAATCTTCTCTTTTGTTTACTGCTAGTCACTCCCTCGTTCTTCAACATCTTTGTCATTCACTTGTATATCGATAACCTGAGGAGCCCACAGGCCACTATCTGAAGCTGAAGTGGCAGCACCAATTGGTGCATGGCCCACGGCAAGTCCCACCTTAACTGCTGTCCCCCAAGATGCTTAAGTGGGGGCATATTCATGTTTATATCCAAGACTGCCATGAGGGTGTCCCTGGACAAAGTTGTGAAGCTCTATGAGACCCCCCACAAGGGTTAGGTCATTGGTTGCTATGGTGGCTTCCTTGGCTGACTAGGCTTATCTGTTTGGAGTTCTCTCCTCAGGAATCCTGTCTCTTTCCTCTTCAGGGCAGGTCCAGTTTCACTGGGTCCTTTGCACGGCTCAGGCTCCGTTCTAGTGTGTTCTTGAGGGAACAGAAGCTAGCTTGAGAACCAAGCCCCACAGAAAAACTGGGGCAAGTGGAAGGGACTCCATGCCCATAATAGAAACTGGTGCAGGGAGGGAGCTGTGAAGAGAACTTGTGTCCTGCCAGTTACCTTCTGGAGAAACAGGAAAACAGTTCCGACCTCGCGACCAGGCAGTGAGGAACCTCCCCCTGGTGTCTGTACTGAGTTCCTCCTCAGGTACATTGTCATCTTGGTAACAGCCTTCTGACTGTTAATAACAAACCCATAAATAAGATGCAGGGTATTTGAGAAAACTTGCAGGCATAATGCTTTGAGTTCTGGCTCTCAGATGCTGAGCTCTTTCCTGATTTCAACAAACCCTCGCGGAATCTAGCAGCACCACTAACTAACCCACTCCACCAGACCTCGCCCTCCAGCCCCCAGGGCTCAGAGTCGGCCTACACTCCGTCACGCCCAGTTCTGGCTCTCAGACCCTCCACAGGCCACACGCCTCTGGACCGTCTCTCACCACAGCACCGAGGCACAGTTTTGGTCGCCCGCCTGTCTCCATTCAATCTGTATCCACGCCTCCCTCCTCCTGCCTTTCCCTGGCCACTTCCTGACCATCCCCACTTTCCATGGCCCTTGGGTCCCATCTACATTTACACAGTCATTTTGAAGAACATTTTTTTTTCTAACTGCTACAAAAAAACCCTGTCATTTGGGCAATATATGCAGATCCTTGGGGACAGCACGGACTAGGCTGACAAAACTGCTTACGTGGTTGGAAGTTCAGGCCGCTCAGGCCGTGGGAGAGCCCCTCACTGCCATCTTCTGTTCCCCGCCAACCTCAGACCTCCCGCCACCCTCTTCCTCTGAGCCCCTCTCATCACTCTTCCGGCCGGAGGTGAGACTGGGGGCTTCCGTCCTGTTCAGTGTGGGCCGTGACCATCAAGGTGAAGAACACCGGGTCACGGTCACAAAGGAAGAGGTGCAGCCGATGTGACAGAATCGTGTGACTAACTGACTCCTTATCTTTGGGGTCTAGATGTTCTACGTGGCCACTTCCCGGCAACTGAGACGCCTGGACTCTGTCACCAGGTCCCCGCTCTACTCTTTCTTCAGCGAGACGGTGTCGGGCTTGCCTGTCATCCGTGCGTTTCAGCACCAGCAGCGATTTCTGAAACACAATGAGGTGTTGATTGATACCAACCAAAAATGTGTCTTTTCCTGGATTATCTCCAACAGGTGAGGCTTCCCCGGGTGTTTACCCAAATGTGCGCTTTGGGGTGCTGCGTGCGTGACCTTAGCTATGGGACAACAGGCATGGCCAGTGGTAAGAAAGTCACTCCAGCCAAACACACCTGCAATGGAAGGAGAGAGAAGACAGCAGGAGCTGTGGCGTCAGAGACCCGGCCCCGGTCCCAGTGCCATTTCCCACATGAGGGGCGCTGCCTCCCCTTCTCTAGGGAAACCTCGCTTTGTTCGTTTTGACACCGGCCAGGACACAGCCACCTCACAGGCTCACCGCACAAGGCAGATGGTGCCGGTGCGCACAGTGTGCCCCACCTCCTGCCCAGGTGCTGGGGGACCCGGGCATTCTCTGTTCGCTTCCCTGGGCGTGCGTGTGAGATTCTGCGTAGGCAGGACAACCTCTGCAGGCAGTGAGAGAAGCAGAGGCTGGAGGGAGGGGACTTGGGGTTTGGTAGGGAAAGCCAGTGACGACATTGGAAAGCTCGCATCCTGTGAGGGGACTCGCGGAGGAGGGTGAGCGTTCTTCACTTCTCCAGCATCACTAGACCCTGGCGAGAAGTGGCAGGTGCTTGAAGGAGAAGGGTCTCGTAGAGGAAGTGGAACTCTCCAGCGCCTTCCACGAGGTCTGGAGGCGCTAAGGGCAGACCGCGCTCTCAGTGTTATCTGGGCCGTGGTGAGGCTGGGAATCTGACGGTGAAGACATTTGACTTATTAGGTACTTTTCGAGAAGAAACAGGTATATGAATCAGTCCTATTGGATGCCCATTGTAAATGTGTATCATATTTATTTGTGTAATGCTCAAATTTTGGGTGCGAATTTATTTAAATACAGTTTATTTGGGGAAGTCGGTGTTTATAAACATGTCTCTCTGTATCCTCCCTGCTCTCTACAGTCGGTCTCCCTGTGACCCCGCCACACCTACTTCTCCCCACCCCCACAGCCCTCTTCGCCTTTTCAACACCGTGAAATCGGACAGGATGCGCTGCGCTCTGCCCTGCCGCTCACACGTGGGCTCCCCCAGGGGGGTCCACCCTGCGGCCCACAGGCCGCACGCGGCCCAGGATGGCCACGCATGCTGCCCAACACAACGTCAGAAGTTCACTTAAAACACTGTGACTTTTTTGTGTGATCACGCCTTGCAATGTATGTAATGTGTGGCCCAAGACAACTCTTCTTCTTCCAGTGTGGCCCAGAGAGGCCAAAAGTTCGGGCACCACTGAGAGTGTGGCACGATTTCCCCGCCTAATCAGAAGAACTCGTCTGGCACATTTGTTTAAGCGCAGGTTCCTGAACCTCACCCTAGGCCCCCTGAGTCAGAGTTTCCTGGGGAAGAGGCCAGACTTTTTTGTCGTTGTTGCATGATTTCGCTTATTTTTAACAATTGCCCCTAACCAGATGACCCTTCTGATTCGGCAACTTTGGGAGGCATTGAACCATAGGGAGTCCCTTAGTTTAGCAAACTCCGCCAAACTAAGTACAGGGTCTTTTCTAAAATCCAACTGGAAAGACTTTAGGAACACATGGCAGGGTCAGACTGAAGCACCTGCTGGGAACATGGTTCTCTCAACTCAAGGCCCTAGGATGTTCTACAAACACCTCTTCTTTCCACTGCTGGGTCAGGTGAGGAATTGGACACCTCCCAGTGATGCCTCTCTCTGGTTCTGCTGTCCTACAGGTGGCTTGCCGTGCGTCTGGAGCTGGTCGGGAACCTGGTTGTTTTCTTTTCGTCCTTGATGATGGTGATTTATAAAGACACCCTGAGTGGGGACACCGTGGGCTTTGTGCTGTCCAATGCACTCAATGTGAGTCTGAAGGTCGGGGGTGCGCTTCAATTCATGTGCTTGTTCTCAAACTGTGCCCAGAGTGTGCCCCGGGCCCATGCTCTTGAGTCTTTTTGAGATCCAGGAGCACTAGGGGAGACTGAGGTTCAAACCCTGGCTCCATCTCTTACCAATTGCGTAACCCATGGACACAATTCGTCCTCTTTCTACATAGGTACCAGTGTCATCTGGACGTAAATGTTGTTGCTCTTGGGAGTTAAGAAAGCAATTTTTAAAAAGATTTTATTTTATTTTTCAAAGAAGGGGAGGGAAGGAAGAACTATCGATCAGTGTCTTCTCGCACCCCCTCCCCACTGGGGACCTGGCCCGCAGCTCAGGCATGTGCCTTGGCCAGGAACCAAACCAGCAACCTTTAGGTTTGCAGGACAACACCCAACCCACTGAGCCACAGCAGCCAGGGCAAGAAAGCAATTTCATATGAGTCGGTCTAATAATTCCCTGTCCCTTTGCCTCTTTGATCAATTCTAGTCAAAAGAGAAAATATTAGTTTCTTTCCCATAATAATAGCAGTAACCAGAAAGTCTTTTGAACAAATCACTTCTGTTCATTTTTCTTAGATTACAGAATAATTGGAGATAATTCTGATAAAGAACATAGAGTTCAGTAAGACTATACTGCATCCTCAGAGTGACTAGGGGCTAAAGGTTAGACATTATTTCCCTGCACCAAAGACCGTGGCTGGCACTGTAATAAATGTCCAATAAATGATACCCACTTAATAGGTCCTTCGGTCATCTTTCACGGTATCTTTCTGAACTAATACCAGGGGTTTGCACACCTACCAGCGCCCTCTACCTGGTGCTGTCTCCCGGAAACATTAATGAGGCCCAGGGCAATCTCGGCGACACCTGGAAGGATGCGTTGTTCACCAGAGTGCCACACTGCTCCCTGTGCCACCGGTTCTTTGTCCACCCATTTCCAGGCTTATCAACCTAGGAGAGAGGGGACAAAGAATTAGAGAACTATTAGAGTGAACCAAAACAAACACATTCACTATCAACCATTTCATGTGGGTTCCACCTACACAACATGTGTAACTCTTAGTCTCCTCAATCCTGGGCTCTCCCTCTTTCTACCCACCATTCACTCCACTAGCACTGGTCTGAGTCTCTGCCTGGAGTGAGCTTCCTGAGGCTCTGGATCATGACCACCCCTGTGGGTGGTGAGAGGCGTCTCTGTAATGGCAGCAAGGCACTCGGGGTTTACAGGGTAAAGGGGGACAGGACCCACCCTGAGGGCTGGGTTCTCAAAAGAGCTGTTGCTAACTGAGAGCAGAGAGAAGAGGCAGCCTTTGGCAGGTGTTTTCCCACCTGGTGCCTTTTCTTGTGTTTTCCCCATTTGTAGAAGGCCACCCACCACCCTTTCCGCAAAGAACATGAAGCTCACAGGCAGGAGAGCCAAGTTCCGGCTCCTCTCCACCACCTGCCAGCCTCTGCAGCCCCAGCTGTGGCCCCAAGACACTCCAGGCTCATACGGTCTTTCACGTGAGCACCACACAGTTGAGCGTTTAGGTCGAGCTGTTCGATGCACCCATCTCACGCACTTCCTCCTTTAAGGGGGGTGAATATTAAACTTACGCTTTCCTTGCTCCCTGGTAGAGTAGAGCCTGGCATAACGCTGAGCGTTGACGAGTTGCATTGGTTTCTGAGCCTGAGATGATCTTTAGTCTTCTGGTTTTTCTGTAGATCACACAAACCCTGAACTGGCTGGTGAGGATGACGTCAGAAGTCGAGACCAACATTGTGGCTGTGGAGCGGATCACTGAGTACATAAACGTGGAAAATGAGGTAAGCCGGTACCAGAGAAACTCGGGGACAAGGCAACGGCAGAGATGCGACTCCTCTGAGGGAGCCCTCTGCCCTTGTCTAGAGACCACACGTGGAGGTTTATAAAGGTTCACCTGCCGGTTCCCCTTGCTGCAACTCAAATGACCGGATTCCTTTCAACTTAGAATAGGAAATGGCTTGGGGAAAGTCACATCTTCAAATGTACTAAGTTAAATCCTGGCTTCATTCTGGAGGCCTTGTGAGAAAGGGTTTCTTCGACTGAATAAGGCAGGAACCTCTGGAAGCGGTAGTCTAGTTCCGCCCATTAAACGCAGATGCCCACAGGCGGCTGAAACACTGCTACCCCTCTACTGCTCTGTGACGCCAGTCCTATGGGGACTGTTCAGCAAATTGAGTCCATAGAAAACTTTTCCCCCTGTCTCCTTGCCAGGCACCCTGGGTGACTGATAAGAGGCCTCCGGCGGGTTGGCCCAGCAAAGGGGAGATTCAGTTTAACAACTACCAAGTGCGGTACCGGCCTGAACTGGATCTGGTACTGAAAGGGATCACATGTAACATCAAGAGCCAGGAGAAGGTAGGTGGGGCCGAAGAAAGGCCGGGATGTGGGTCCTTGTGATGGGAGGGCAGTGGGACACAGAAGTGGTGAGTGAGCAACCAAACCCCAGGCTTTCATCTTTCCTGCGAAGTGAGGGACAGGATCGGGCACTTCCCGGCCTGGGAAATGTAATAACACAGCACCACCACCAGAGGGCAGGATATAAACATGGGATCGATCGGACTTACTGGGGCTGTAAGGCCTTTCTGCTCAGCCCTGCCCTGCTTCCTTGCCCTTATACTTCTGTAGCTGGCCGGGGATCATTTCCCGAGAGGGCCAGAGAATGTAAAGAGGAAGCAGGAAGCACATGGCTTGGGGAAAAAACTAGTGAGAACAGCAGTGCGGAGCTTCTCCCTGCGGAGAGAATGGCCTAGTTCTCCTTCAGGTTTTGCAAAGTCCTGCACCCTCGTTTGGTGGCCTTTCTCTCTGAGGACTTGGGGTCTGATGTAGGACCAGAAACTCTCTGGGGAAGGATGCCGAGGTCCAGGTCAGGTCTGGTTCTCAGCTGATGACAGGCCTGATTGCTCCCTTCTCACTTCTAAACAAGGATTTTTAAAAATCTATAATTTCCAATAATAATTTTAACAACAGCTGCCGATGTGTCCGTTTCCAATAGTCACTGTGGTTCTCGGCGAGCCACAGGCTAGGGGCGGGATGGGACAGCTGTCTTGTTCTGACGTCTCAGCCCTTTTCCCCACCGAACCCCAAATCGGTTCAACATCTTAGAGATCAAGTGGCCAATCACTGCCTCTTTCCACCTGTGACCTGTGATTCTGACTGCCTCAGGCTGCATTTTTCTCCACCAAGGATTACATGGTGACCTAACCTGGGGGGCCTCCTTACAGATTGGTGTGGTGGGCAGGACAGGAGCCGGGAAGTCGTCCCTGACAAACTGCCTCTTCAGGATCCTAGAGGCTGCAGGCGGCCAGATCATCATCGATGGGGTAGATGTTGCTTCCATCGGGCTCCACGACCTCCGAGAGAAACTGACCATCATCCCGCAGGTGAGCTCTGGCACTTCCTCTGTCACACACGGCAGGGGACAGAGGCAGGAAACGTGTGCGTCTTCTTCTTGGTGTAGATTCCATGAGCAGTGTTATTTCTGCAGGCTACCCCGGGTGCCTGAGCTAGTTCCCTCCCTAAAACACACTGTTTCCAGAACTTCCAAAAATAAGGTCTATTTTTTTGTTTTCTCTTTTCTTTTTTCTTATTTTTTGTAATATGCTCGTGTGACTGCCTGTAGCTAGCCAGTAGGTGGCAGCAACACAACCCAAGTCATATAAAGCAGATGATTATTTAGCATTTCTATAGCCCAGCATGGTTTGTGCCACCTTTTGCGATCAGCACTAGCAGTTTTGCCACTGAAGCCTGAAACAATTAAGCTTTATATTCCTCACTTGATAAGGTTAAAAGACAGAGTAGGGAGTTTGCTGCAGGTTTCTGCCAGCAAGCCAACCCTCAGTGCATGGGCAAGAGAGGCTTCCCTTCAGCTTCCTCTCTGGACCCCACCAAGTAAGGACCGTCCTGGAGGCTTCTGGGTGGAATGTGGGTCCTCATTAGAACCGCCCCTCCTCTGCTCCCTGCAGCCGAGTCTCTCTCGGGGTGGTTTTGGTTCTCGGGGGGTTTATTCGGTTTGATGCACTCTTTTCTCCAGCTTCTTCAAAGGCGTAATAAATTCCTCTCCAGTGACTGTACCACCCATGATTCTTCTATTTCCACACCATGAGTTTTTCTTTGGGAGTGTGGGACTTGCAACCCAGCTTTCCCTCCCGGGCTAGTTCTACTCACTTTCTCCCTGCCGCCCAGCTCGGCAAGCCCCTTTTCTGCCATTAGCCCCAATAGCCCCATTCGTCCCTTGACACGCAGGACCCCATCCTGTTCTCTGGAAGCCTGAGGATGAATCTAGACCCTTTCAACAACTACTCAGATGAGGAGATCTGGAAGGCCCTGGAGCTGGCTCACCTCAAATCCTTTGTGTACGGCCTGCAACTCGGTTTGTCCCATGAGCTGACAGAGGCCGGTGACAACCTCAGGTAATGTTTCCTAACCCACCGACCCACAGGCAGTGACAGGAGGTGAGGGGAATGACTGCTTGGCTCCGTGCGCTAGAAGGTGCCTGGCACGGCCCAGGTGTGATCCCTCGTGTGTAAAGGGGACCTGCTGTGAAGATGACAGGAGAGAACAGATGAAAATGTGCATGGGAACTACTGATTGTTGGTGCATGTGCCCTCATGAGACTTTAAATGGAGTTCCCATGTCTGCCATTGTGGAGTTTTTTCCTTTTAGCTGCTCCCTGCAGTCAGGACAAAAACAATCCCGATGCCTAGTCCAAGCCAAGAAAGTCGGGTTTCACCGGTATGAGGTGCGCGCTGGACCTGGGAGTTCCACAGGATCCCGGGGGTTGCTGTGGGCATCCCAGGTGGGGCAGCACAGGTCTGCAGGGCAGCAGTGACGGGGACGTGGCATCCACAGAGTCCGCGGGCCCCCGAACACCTGACACCTGCAGAGACTCTCCGCTTCCCAGTGCTTGCTGCCTTTCCAGAGGCCTTCTATAAATGTCGACAGTTCACATTTACTTACAGCCTTCAGTACATGCTTAGCTATCAGTTAATAAGTTGACCTGGCAATTTCCCTTTGACAACTGAGTGTTTCCCTCCACACGCTGACGGTCAGCCCTCAGCCAAAACCCGCTGCTCAGACGCAGGCCTTCCTGCATTCCCAGGGGTCCTCAGAGTGGCCAGCAGGGCCAGGGCCACTAGCAGGTGAGGCTCATCAAAGAAGGGAGGCCCCGTTAACTCAATTAGTGGAGCAGCAGCTCTGGCTTCACCCGCGGACTTGTAAATGGAGATACTGAGGCTCTTGAGCAGAATCTGCAGTTTAGTAAGATTCCCCAGTGATTTTCATGTATATTACAGTTTGAGAAGCGCTGCCCAGAACACTGGTTCTTAACTAGGCTGTACACTAGAATCACTCAGGGATCTTTAAAAAAAAAAACATCTCAGTGCCCAGGCTGCATCCCAGACCAGCTGACTCAGGGGCCCAGACGACTTCAGTGTGCAGCTTTGGGAGAGAAGGCTGCCACGTTTGTTTCCCCCCAGAAATGGGTGTAGGAACCAGCAGGACTTAAGTGGGCCCGTAGCCTATAGACCATTCAAACATTCGGTCGACAGGAACAGCTTGCGCACCCACCACATCCAGGCACTGGAGACAGAGCGGTGGAGGACACAGACCCAACCGCCGGCCTCCCAGCACCGATGGCTCAGTGGGGAAGACAGGCCTTGTGCGAGGAAAGGCCCAGCAGCAAATGCTGCAGACACGAGGGGCCCTGTGCAGCCCTCCGTCAGGATGTGATGGCGGGGAGGGGGGGCCTTGATGCTTCCGCCTTATAAGGAAAAATCACACCATCCTTCTCTGCCCATGCTGGAGACACTCGAAGGCATCCCCAGCGCCTTGATTTCAGCCCGTGTTTGGTGGTGGTAAAACGTAAACTTCCCAGAGATGGATCAGCTGGGAGAGAGACAGGGCAGCTGGAGCCAAACTGGGGCCTCAGCAGCAGCCTGTGATAGGAGGTCCGACAGAACAGCAGGAGTTGGGTGTCGGCTCAGGAACTAGTTTCGCAGTGGCCTCTGTTTTTACAGTACAGAGAAAAACTGGAAGTTCATCTTGGGTGCCTTTTCATCTGCAGAAATTTTCTCCCAGAGAATTACAGGACTTTTAGTCTAGCCACCCTCTGTTCAATATGTTCCCTGATGGCCACAGCAGGCAAGAGCAATCAGCTAATTACGGAGCATTTGCTCCACATCATTTCCCAAAGCTTCTCTATGTAAGTAAGAGGTCCGGCCTTCATTACCAGCTCTTCGCAAATTAAAGTGATTTGTGTTTCACAAGCATATTCAAGTTCCACATGCATTGCATCTCACACCAAGACATCATGTTCATTAGAGAGCTACATCTCTAATCGAGGCAGAAGGCCTCGAACAGATAATGAGCCTTGAGACCAGAATTACACATTAAAATAACAGATGGATTTGCGAAGGCCACTAAGAAATGCCACTGAGGCAGTGTTGCGGTATCTTTATGGTGTCGGGTCAGACACTGCAGAATTGAACTTGGGGCATCCGTCTTGCTTTGGACTTGTTGGCGTGCCAGGATGTCACCAGGATTCCCTGGGCTGCTTGTTAAAAATACACATTCCTTGGCTCCTTCCTATTCCACCTGAGTACAGGGGGGCCCACAAGTGTGAGTTTTTAAAATCAAGTACTTGGGTCTTCTAATTCACGGGGAGGTTTGGCGAACATTGCCCGTGGGAACAAGGAACAGCTGGTGGAAGAGGCCGCGTGGCATTGTGGACCGGGGCGGTTAGGGGTGCGGGTTTTCTAAGTCTCCTCGGCCGGACCTCCCAACCCCGGTTCTTCCTTGGGCCCTGGGCTAAGGCGTGTTTTCTCCCCTGGTCTGCAGCATCGGGCAAAGGCAGCTACTGTGCCTGGCCAGGGCTCTGCTGCGGAAATCCAAGATTCTGATCATGGACGAGGCCACTGCTGCCGTAGACCTGGAGACGGATCGCCTCATCCAGATAACCATCCAGAAGGAGTTCTCCCACTGCACGACCATCACCATCGCCCACAGGCTGCACACCATCCTGGACAGCGACCGGTGAGTGGGGCGGGGCGCGGCGGCGGTTTAACCCTTTGTCGAAGTGCGGGTGGGTCACTGCGGGAGGAGCCGCCACCGTCATTTTACTGGGGAAGAATCGGAGAGTGAGTGATTTCAAGTCATTTGCCCGAAATGATATACATCAAGGTAATGAAAGCCGACAGGGTCAAGGAAACTGCCTTACGGGGAAAATGGAAAACCGTGTGTCGCTGTAGCCGTCACGGAGCCCAGGGAGGTGGAGGCCCAGGCCCGGTGGCAGGCGCTGGGTGCGGACCCCCCACCCACGGGGCTCAGCTGCGCCCCCCGAAACCTGCGTTGTTCCTCACGCCGGACACGGGGGTGAGGTCGGCAACCCTAGAAACGGGGCTGCCTTAAACAATGTGTATCTTAAAAAAAAAAAAAAAAAAAGCTTATGTAATGGACTCAGATGGCGAATATTCTTCTACTACTTGATTCTCTGTTCAACATTTCATACGGATTTCGTCCGAGTTGGAGCAAACAGCTGTGGTTCATTCATTGCGCTGCTTTGTAGCCTGGTAGGCATGACCGTACCAGGACGGAGGGCTGGTTGTTAGCAAGGCCGAGGCCCAGGTGCTGCTTTCTAAGGCCGGCGTTTCCCTCTCCCGCGTTTCAGGGTAATGGTCCTGGACAACGGGAAGATTGTGGAGTATGGCAGCCCCGAGGAACTGCTGGAAAAACCTGGCCCCTTTTATTTTATGGCCAAAGAAGCTGGCATTGAACGTGGGAACAGCACAGCACTGTGACGGCAGGTCCCGAGGCTCAGAAAGGACTAGAAGGATCATTACTTATTTAACTTCATTTTTTGAGAACTATATCATATGTAGAGAAAGGTGTGTAAAATGTGCATCTTAAAGAAGGATTGTAAGTGAACAGCTGTGTACCCGCTGCCCAGGTGAAGAAAATGAACGGCAGCAGCTCCAGCAGACTCCCCAACGAGCCCACTCTGCCCCTCATCCCGGCTACCCCACCCCCGCCCCGCCCGAGACCGCTGTGCTGAGTTCCGTGATAATTATCCCCTTGCCTTCCATTTAGTCTTACCACTTTGTATGTATCTTTAAACAATGTGTGCCTTTTTAAAAACTTATGCAAATGGCTGGCTCATACTGCACACATTCTTCCACGACTTCATTCAGTATTACGTTTGAGTCGTAGCCAGTCCACGCCCATAGTGGGGCGAGTTCGTTCTCACTGCTCTGTAGTACAGCAGGGGGTGAGTGTGCTGCTGTGGACCCATTCTAATGTTGGTCAGCAGCAGGGCTTTTTTTTTTTCCTGTGATGAACTGTACTGCTATGAACATTCTAATATATAATTCCTGAGATGTATGTGCAGGACTTTCTTAGGGTGTAATGCAGGAAGGGGGGCGTGCACACGTTTACATGAATATATTTGGTTAATGCCAAACTGGCAATGCCAACGAAAAGCTCTTCGTCAGTCTGATGGGTATGGATTGGTACCTCAGTGAGGTTTTCACTTACATTTACCTGGTTACTGTTGAGGTTTCACAAAGTAGAGTACAAACCGCTACCTGATCACGGCCTGAGGTTCCGATATGAGGTTTCTGCTGGTTCTCACCCATGGTGCTTTATGTCCTTGCATGCCTTGTGAATTTTTACGAGAAGCTGTTCACGCTGTGGACATTCTCTGAGGCTGGGTGAGCCTGAGCTGTCCTGAGAACCCCTGCTTCCTGTGTTGGTTTCCTCAGATCCATCCCCCTATGACTACCAGGGATCAAATATGCAAAACTTTAAAAAAATCATTTTTATTGTTGTTCTATTACCGTTGTCTCCATTTGCCCCCTTTGCCCTCCTCCCCTCTCCCACATCCGTTCCCACCCTGTTGTCCATGTCTGTGGGTCATTCATTCATGTTCTGTCTTCTGCTTCAACCCTTCATTCAATGGCCACCCAGAGTCAAGGTAAAATTCCTCAGTACGGTGTAATGAAGCTCCCTAACATCTGATCCAACCTCATTTCTTCTAACTCCCGTAGGCTCCAGCCACAGTAAATGCTTTTAGATTCACACACACGCACCCTTTGATTCTAGCCTTTTGCTTTTCTATCCCTTCTGCTTGGAATCCCCCGCTACCTCTAACTCATTCTGACTCAGCCAAGAGGTTCCCCTCTCCTCTTACACCCCAAGCTAGTGTCAGCGCTGTTGTCAATTTCAGTCCTTTTCTGCATCTGAACCAGAGTTCTGTGTTTGGGGACTTCCTAAACTCAGGATGCTTCGTGGGAGACAAGGGTGCAGCCATGTGACTAGGTCCCGTTAATCAGCTGTGCTGGCACCGAATGAACTTCGGACGCCCATGACACAGAGAGGCAGGGCAATCTGTCCTGGGAAAGGTGATGGCAGTCATGACAGGCATGGCTCTTGTCTGAGGGTAGCCGTGTGGTGGTTCCAGCTGCAAGGCCTGGCGATAGTGTAGCGTCGGGTAGTGTGGTGACTTTGTCGGAAGTTTCTATGTTTGGATCTCCCTCAGTAAGCTGTGAGCCTCTTGAAAACAGGAATAATTTCTTACTCATTTTCTTTCTCTCTTTCAGTGGCCAGAATATAGCAAGCATATGCATGTTTGTTCAAAAAAACGTTTTAAAAATTGAATGGGAAAAATGAATGACAATGCAGAAATAGAGTTGAAGAAAACAAAGTAACTCCACATTGACACATTGGCACAAACAGGAAAAAGAAATGTACCAATCAGACCTCACTTTTTTGCAGGCTAGTTTTCTATGTGCGCCTTTCGACATATCCTCTAAAGAAACTCATTTCATTCAGGTATTAGGATGAGAATTCATTTAATCACAAATGCTAACCGGTCGTATCTTTATTTAAAATTAGCAAACAGTATTGTACAAACACTGACATTTAAATCTCTAAAAATCTAAACTTTTACAATTTAGATTTACTTAGCAAAGACCACATTCAATTATAAGCATGAATTTAGTATTCTACATAGATTAGACACTAAGCAGTTTTCTTAAAGGCTTCAATTCACCCTGTCTGAAGACACATGTAAAAGATTATGAAATTGCATTAAAAAATTGGAAGCGCTCCATTTTCATAGTATTCCTTTTTTGCTTTATAATTGGTTATGCTGTAGAATTTAAGTGTTACAGTGTAAAAAGCAACGAGTCAGGGAAGAAGAAAAAAGAGGATCATATAAAAAGCTGTATTTCCTTTAGGTAAGACAAGCATAAAAATAAGAATTACAGGAAGAAAAATGACTTAAAACTAGTTTGGTTTTTACAGACTTTTAAAAACGGACTAACACAGAGCTCTTCTTCAACTCTGACAATCAAGGCCTTGGTCGCCATGTTGACAGTCTCTCGGATGGACACCTTGGCACTCACCGCACGGCCATTCATTTGGCTGTTCTGCTCCAGAGTGTCCACAGTGAAGCACTGGTCCTGCAGCCCAGCCTTTGGGACACTTACCTGCCAGGTCAGCTCACACCTGCCTGTTCTCTCCCGGCAGCAACTCTGTTGGTATCCATCCGCGGAGACTGTCCGGTGTCGAGTTGTCCACTGGTTGTACCTCTAGAGAGACATCCCTCCCCGTGGGTGGAGCTGACACCCTTGCCCAGAGCTGGCTTCTTTGTGCACGAGCACCCGTGCGCTGCTGCATCGTGGTCTGGTTTGTTAGTTGCATCATAAAGACAGAAACTAGTCCCATAAATATTTGCCTGGTACATTTACTAGTGGTCCAGTTAGTTACTTTTATTTACAGTTATCTGTAAACCAATTACACTTTGGCAAGCTCTTCATTTTCCTTCATCAAAAGGTTTCGTTTTGCTGCATAATTGACTTCACTGTTGATGGATGACCAGGATATTTTTGTGTTAGCTGGACCTGGGGTAGAGGTGAGGCTCAAGGGCCAAGGCTGTCCTGCTGTTTTTGTAAATAAAGATTTTTCTGGAACACGGCCATGCCCACTTGTTTCCCTGTTATCCTTGCTGGCTGTCGTGCTACAGTGGTGGCGCTGAGGGGTGGCGGCGGACTGAGTGGCCCGCAGAGCCTGAACTATGTACTGTCTGGTCATTTACAGAGGAGGTTTGCTGGTCCCTGCTCCAGCGACGCTGGTATGGCCTGGGGTGCATCCTTTCCATTCCCAAACAGACAACAGGCCTAAAGAGTGTCACGACTCTATCCCTGTGGCAGGTAGATAAAACGGTCCCTAAAGACGTCCAGGTCCTAATCCCCAGAATCCATGAGGCTTACCTTACATGGTGAAAGGGGAGGTATCGGTAAGGACATTGCGGTGGGGAGAACATGCAGCTGGGCCAGTGCGGTCGCAAGGATCCTTGCGAGAGTCAGGAGGGTCAGAATCAGAATGAACACGATGTGATGAGAAGCAGAGAGGTTTGAAGATGCTGCTGATGGCTTTGAAGGTGGAGGAAGAGGCCACAAGCCAAGGGGTACAGGCAGCTTCTGGAAGCTCGAAAAGGAGACAGATTCTCGCCTGGAGCCTCCAGGAGGAACCAGACATACTTGACTTTTGCCCAGTGAAACAGATTTTGAGCTTTTTTTTTTAAATTTATTTATTTTTTTAAATTGATTATGCTGTTACAGTTGTTCTATTCCCCCCTTCATTCCCCTCCACCCTGCCCCCCCAACCCCACCATTACCCCCCTTTACTTTATGTCCATGTGTCTCAAGTCCTTTAGGTTCTATATTTCCCATGCTATTCTTGCCCCCCCCCCCCCCATCTATTTTCTATCTACTGTCTATGCTACTTGTTTTCTGTACCTTCTCCCCCCATCTCCTCCTCCCACTCCCCTGTTGCTAACCCTCCTTGAGATCTTCATTTCTGTTTCCACTCCTGATCTAGCTGTCCTTTTAGTTTGCTTTCGTTTTAGGTGTGGTTGTTAATAACTGTGAGTTTGTTGTCCTTTCACTGTTCATGTTTCTTTAACTTCTTTTTCTTCGATAAGTCCCTTTAACATTTCATATAATAAGGGCTTGGTGATGATGAACTCCTTGAATTTGGTCTTATCTGAGAAGCACCTTATCTGTCCTTCCATTCTAAATGAAAGTTTTGCTGGATAGAGCAATCTTGGTTGTAGGTCTTTAGATTTCATGACTTGGAATATTTCTTTCCAGCCCCTTCTTGCCTGTAGGGTCTCTTTTGAGAAATCTGCTGACAGTCTGATGGGGACTCCTTTGTAGGTGATTGTCCCCTTAGCTCTTGCTGCTTCCAGGATTCTCTCCTTCATTTTAATTTTGGCTAATGTAATTATGATATGCCTTGGTGTGTTTCTTCTTGAGTCCAACTTTTTTGGTACTCTCTGGGCTTCTTGGATTTCTTGGAAGTCTATTTCCTTTGCCAGATTGGGGAAATTTTCTTTTATTATTTGTTCAAATAGTTTTTCCACTGGTGGTTGTGTCTTTCCCCCTTCTGGTACCCCTATAATTCGGATATTGGAGCATTTAAAGATGTCCTGGAGGTTCCTAAGACTCTCCTCATTTCTTTGAATTCTTGCTCCTTGACTCTTGTCTGTTTGGCCATTATTTGCTTTCTTCTGGTCCACTTCCTTGATTTGAGTCCCAGTTTCCTTTTCATCTCTATGGGTTTCCTGTGGAATTCCATTCATTTCCCTTAATTTAGCCTTCATATGTTTCTCTAATTTGTGGCTATAATCCACCAGATCTGTGGGGAAGCTGATGACCAGTGTTTTAAACTGTGCGTCTGAGAGTTTTGCTATTTCTTCATCGCTGAGATTTATCACTGGGGCTTTGAGGTCTTCCTGCGACATTTTTGGTCTGTTCTGGCCCTTTAAGTGGGAGAGGCGGCGCCTTGGAGTCCCAGGTCGCTTGGTTGTGACGCTGTATGTGGGGGCGTGGTCAGAGCGGGGAAATGGCGGCGCCCTCTATCGCTGTGGCCGCCGTCTATCACCGCCGCCGCCGGTCCAACTGCCCACTCCCTCACTCGCGCGCAATTAGGCAACCACAGTCAACACGCTGCACCACCTCCCCACTGTCTCCTCTGCAGTCGCTCACCCGGTGGGTTGCTCGATCGCTCACTAGGTCCAATCCTGGGTTTGGAACCCGTGCGTCTGGATTCGCGCGTCTGGATTCCGCGCCCGGGTCCGACCGAGCCCTCCTTTGTAACTCCTCACCAGACGCCGGTTTCGCCCCTTACCGGGCTGAAGAATTTGTTGTTAGCGGACTTCCGAAAAGTTCAGTTTTCCGTGTTCTGGTTGTGTTTTCTGATGCTAATATTTAGTTGTCCCTAAACTTGGTTGTGTGAGGAGGCACGGCATATCCACCTAAACCTCCATCTTGGCGGAAGTCCCTTTTTTTTTTTTTTAAATTTTATTGATTATGCCATTACATTTGTTCTATTCCCCCCTCCACCCTGCATGCCCCCCCCCCCCCCCTTCCCCCCCTTTAGTTCATGAACAGGTGTCTCAAGTTCTTTAGATTCTGTATTTCCCCTACTATTCTTACCCTCCCCCTATCTATTTTCTATCTACTGTCTATGCTACATATTTTCTGTACCTTCTCCCCCCTTCTCCTTCTCCCACTCCCCTGTTGCTAATCCTCCACATGATCTTCATTTCTATGATTCACTCCTGATCCAGTTGTCCTCTGAATTTGCTTTTGTTTTAGGTGTGGTTGTTAATAACTGAGTTTGCTCACAGTGAGTTCAACTTTTTTATCTTCTTTTTCTTAGGTAAATCCCTTTAACATTTCATATAATAAGGGCTTGGTGATGATGAACTCCTTGAATTTGGTCTTATCTGAGAAGCACCTTATCTGTCCTTCCATTCTAAATGAAAGTTTTGCTGGGTAGAGCAATCTTGGTTGTAGGTCTTTAGATTTCATGACTTGGAATATTTCTTTCCAGCCCCTTCTTGCCTGTAAGGTCTCTTTTGAGAAATCTGCTGACAGCCTGATGGGGACTCCTTTGTAGGTGATTGTCCCCTTAGCTCTTGCTGCTCCCAGGATTCTCTCCTTCATTTTAATTTTGGCTAATGTAATTATGATATGCCTTGGTGTGTTTCTTCTTGAGTCCAACTTTTTTGGTACTCTCTGGGCTTCTTGGATTTCTTGGAAGTCTATTTCCTTTGCCAGATTGGGGAAATTTTCTTTTATTATTTGTTCAAATAGTTTTTCCACTGGTGGTTGTGTCTTTCCCCCTTCTGGTACCCCTATAATTCGGATATTGGAGCATTTAAAGATGTCCTGGAGGTTCCTAAGACTCTCCTCATTTCTTTGAATTCTTGCTCCTTGACTCTTTTCTGTTTGGCCATTATATTGTTTCTTCTGGTCCACTCCATTGATTTGAGTCCCAGTTTCCTTTTCATCTCTATGGGTTTCCTGTGGAATTCCACTCATTTCCCTTAATTTAGCCTTCATATGTTTCTCTAATTTGTGGCTATAATCAACCAGAGCTGTGAGGAAGCTGATGACCAGTGTTTTAAACTGTGCGTCTGAGAGTTTTGCTATTTCTTCGTCACTTAGATTTATCTCTGGGACTTTGAGTTCTCCCTGCGACATTTTTGGTCTGTTCTGGCCCTTTAAGTGGGAGAAGCGGCGCCTTGGATTCCCAGGTCGCTGGGTTGTGACGCTGTATGTGGGGGCGTGGTCAGAGTGGGGGAACGGCGGCGCCCTCTATTGCCGCCAGCCGCTGTCTATCGTCGCCGCGCCCGCCGTCGCCGGTGCAACGGCTCACTCCCTCACTCGCGCGCAATTAGGCAACCACAGTCAACACGCTGCACCACCTCCCCACTGTCTCCTCTGCAGTCGCTCACCCGGTGGGTTGCTCGGTCGCTCACTAGGTCCAATCCTGGGTTTGGAACCCGTGCGTCTGGATTCGCGCGTCTGGATTCCGCGCCCGGGTCCGACCGAGCCCTCCTTTGTAACTCCTCACCCGACACAGGTTTCGTCCCTTACCCGTCGGGCTGAAGAATTTGTTGTTAGCGGACTTCCGAAAAGTTCAGTTTTCCGTGTTCTGGTTGTGTTTTCTGATGCTAATATTTAGTTGTCCCTAAACTTGGTTGTGTGAGGAGGCACGGCACATCCACCTAAACCTCCATCTTGGCGGAAGTCCCAATATTTGCTTTCTTCTGGTCCACTCCATTGATTTGAGTCCCAGACTCCTTTCCATTACTATTGGTATCCTTTGCATTACCATTCATTTCAATTAGTTTAGCTTTCATATGTTTCTCTAATTTGTGACTAAAATCAACCAGTTCTGTGAGCATCCTGATAACCAGTGTTTTGAACTGTGCATCTGAAAGT